TTTGTCATAGTAATCTGTGAAGGTTGAGGAACAAGCCGTAGCAATGCACTCGTCACTAAACCAGCCTGAGATTATTCGCCAGGTAGCGGCTGCGTTTCCCTACTTGCTGAATCATGTTAGCAACTTTCCATTTCCAGACACTTTTTACGGCAAATAAATTGTTGGGTTATTTGGAAGGTGAATGACAATTCTATTTCTATAAGTCAATACATTTGTATTTCCGATTGCCCTAAAACTTTTTTTTTAATCGTTTGCGGTAGGTTTTTATTGTTCGCAATAAAGTTGCGCACCTGTGAATCCTTCACTTAATGCGTTCCCGGCTTCCCGGCGCCAGCTGTTGCGCTGTGCCGTGCCGCGTTCGGTCGGGGGTGCGCGAGTCTGTGCAGTGCGAGTGTTTATCACTGGGCAAACCTGTATCGTTTCCATTTGTGCAGTGTCTAGTTATGAAGAATTGCTTGCCGATATATGACCTGCAGTGATCGACGTTCTGATTCAATAACTTGCCATAAGCCATTATTCTCAACCAAATCGCGCAGAGACGTTTGCAAAGTTGTCGAGGGGGGGGGGGGGCGAAACAAGAGCGATTTTAAATGAATTGCTCTCCATGCAGTGCAATAGGACTTAGGTTTAATTTTTCGAAAGTTGTGGAGCCGCCCCCGGTGTCCGGCCTGGCCAACTCTCAAGAACCGACAGCTAACGGAACACTGAAGTTTCACTACGACGATTTCCGCCAAAGTTATGAAGAAAGGGCAAGTGCAAGAAGTACAAAACTTCTCTTGGTAATCAAAACTTAGGTTTGGCAAATTCCAAACCCTAAGTCACTACAACTGTGGATATAAATAAGCTGGTTATTGACGGCCAAGCTCTGGCCAATCTGAGGTTCAGACCTATCATCAAGTTCATGAGGCAGCTGCGGTTGGGCGGCTCACGGGCTCCACTGCATAGGCTCAGACAGGTACTCTACAAAATGTCGTCTGTGTTCTTAGGTTCAGATCTATCGATAGGTATGTGCATGCTTCTGATTCGATTGATAACTGTAAACGGGCGCTGGAAGTGAAAGATTCGCTTGATATACGAAAGGTGCATTGCAAGAAAGCATATTATTTCAGAAATACACTTTCATTTTATCTTGAGCGTTTTTGGAATGGGCCGGATGAATTCGTCATCAAACTGGTAAGGGATTTCGTTTGAAGACCACCGATATCTAATAATATGATGGTCTTCAAACGAATTCGCTGGCAAATTCGATGACTGGATTGGGCGGCGTAGGATCTGCTGGTCATCTGACTATGGGTTGAGCAATACGTTAGTTTTGACCTAGTTTGAGCTTCATTCGTTAAGTAGGAACAAGACGATGCTTCTTTTGAGCATCGTCACTAAACAAGCCGCCCTCGTTTTGACATTGTTTTTCGTTATTATTGTTACCAGGTACTTTGTTATCATACACAGCATTAACGAGGACCTGCTTCCAAAACAAGGCAGAAACGCTCCAGCTATTTTTGGGACGTGGTAAAAACTAACCGACACCTGGTAACTGTCATCTGACGAACACAAAACAAGCCAGGGGCTCGCAGCGTGTGTCAAAAGTAGGATGCAAAACTAGTCTGTACCCCCGACATTTAGCGTTGAGAATCATTTGACGAGGGGCTAGTCAATATTTTTTACAGTGTAACCCGCATAATGTGAGCCCACAGCTTTTTCTTAGCAACTCGGAAAACGCAACATTTGGAACTTGGAAGGCTTCATGACGCGATCTGAAGAGGATGAAAGATGGCCGATGGCGAGAATAGTAGAGGACTTCGTCACTTCATATGACAGATGGCGAAGATCAGTAAAGACTTTCATGCTCCTGCTGTGTTTACCGTCAAGTACCTATGTGTCGAGATGCTTATAAGAAGGCAGACGTTTACATAATGCCTAAATGACTAGGAACAAGATAGCGTGGTGAAATGTTACATGACCATTGTTTAGCGTTCGTGTTGTAACTGATACACAGTTATATGACTGCAATAAATATTCATATTCAATGAACAGTCGCAGGTGCCAACACCCAAAAATCTACCCGGACGTCCAAGTCATTTAGTTGCATTGACACTTGGCGGTGTTCGTGACACCACATAACTTTACTAACACCATTGTGCTGATGCATGGATGTGTGTATTGTGTGGACACGGAAACAATAGCCTTCCACGTCGCATCGCATGCGGAACGAAATGTTTTGCTTGAATACAGTTCCCAATAGGGACTCATGTATCTTCATGGACTGCCAATCGTTATAGAGGACAAACGAAATTTATGTAGTGCGGTGCTTACAAAATAGGGCATTATAAAGTTGCAGATTACCATCTGACAAAACCTTCCTATAAAGTTGCAGATTACCATCTGACAAAACCTTCCTAAAACTAATCACGAAATGAGTTAAAGACCGCAAGTGAATCGGTCCAGTGCAAGTGTTTGCTGAAATGGCCGGCCGCTCATACCCAAAAATATTTGCTATTCTACGAAAGATTTCGTTTCGCTCGCTCGCTCGTAATAATACAGCACGCACTGGTGAATCCGGAGTTGGGCATTGGAGGCAATTTCCTCTCGTGCAGCCCTCAAAATTTAACAGCACAGCATCACGATTTGTTTTGAAACAGACACGCCTTCCTCATGAGACTGCGCTTATGCATGTGATAGGTACACACCAATAGTAGACCTATGAAGACTGTAGCAATTCACACGACCATAACAGCAGCGGTGAAAAAAGGGCGGCACACCTTTTGCGGATGGCAGAGCACAAGGGCATTTCATCGCATGTATTGGTATAAAGATGTCTTGGAAATTGGTCGAAAAGTCCAAAATAGATTCTAAAAAAGCTCAAAATAGTCAATAGCTGCACACCACATCAGACAAATCGTCGTTGCAATCAGTTGCACGGTGTGCGATGCAATCACTGGAAGTTGGCGAGGAAAATCCACACAAACCTCATCATAATTTATTAGTAACTATTCTTTCCAGCCAATTGCAAAGTTGCAAACATGGTGGTAGTGTGAGTATGGGAACTTCAGCCTCTGTATGTCTGTCTGTCTGTCTGTCTGTCTGTCTGTCTCTCTCTCTCTCTCTCTCTCTCTCTCTCTCTCTCTCTCTCTCTCTCTCTCTCTCTCTCTCTCTCTCTCTCTCTCTCTCTCTCTCTCTCTCTCTCTCTCTCTCTCTCTCTCATACGCAAACAGGTGTCACCTGTAAAGTTCCACACAAACATACCGATAGGTACCTACACCCTGTGATCGCGCTGTAAGCACACACTACCTACATGTCACGGCAGTGCTCGTCAAGGTCAATGACTTGTTCTACTTCCTTCGATACTTGCGTCGTCACATTCAATACGCTGATGACACGCAAATGTCGGAGACAGGCGTGAACGAGAGAAAGGAGGACAGCAGTGCACTCCAGAAACGTAAGCTGATGACTGCCGGGTCTGAGACAGGTCAAATCCTGAAGTCGATCAGTGTTAGAGCAAGGTCCCTGAGCTAGGAAGTAACACACTTACCATGCCGTTACTTATGTTGTCATATACCATACCTTAATGTGACCGAGGCATGTTTCTCTATAGCAATGTCATTCAGCCGAATCAGGAGTTTTGCTCAGCAATAGTCTGTGAGTTACGAAGGTACGGGTGAATTTGGATAAACTTGCCTGCGGCTCATCAACGCGGAGCGCTGCGTTAGACGCACATTGCATAGCTAGCTTTCTCATAAGACGTTGGATATCCGGCATGTCATTTCTGTATTGCCTACTTAACCGTAATTGCTGGTTATTTGGCCAAAGTAGGAGATTTGTCTTTTCCGTATTCCTTTAAATCCGAAGCGTTTCGTATAAAACAACGCCAGCAAAACTTGTATCTTCTCAGTTCTCACCCATGGGCACGTTGAACCAAAGTTGAACGGCAGTCGGTAAGTGCAAAAATCAGGCAAGCTTTATGCTTGCAGAAGAACCTGCACACTAGAAATGGTACGAATCCGCCTGGTTCATCTGCAGTCGACGCTCCAAAACACACGATTGAGTCAGGAATGGGAGATGATGAAACACACGCGGCATGAAACACCTGTTGTAATGTCCTTACACATGGAGACTGCATTAGAGCACACTACACTAGCACCAAGCGCCAGTGACTGCAACGGTGCATAAGATGCTATCGTACCTGAAGTAAACCAAGTCTAGCATGGTTGGCCGGTGACCTATTCACGCTCTGAGGCGAATATACATATCATGCACCAGAGATAATAGAGATCAGCAGTCTCACAGCCGTGTTTCTCAGGATATTATGGCGGCATGGATGAAAACAGTTCAGGGAGTCACGCATGCTTCTGGAGGCACGCAAGCCTAGGTAAGGCTTTCATCGCGTCAGCACCTGATCTCATGTTGGCGGTGAGGCAAAAATTACCAGTGCTTTAGTCCCAGACTGGACCTATGGATTTTCAATGTCTGTGCGTTATTTCTGTAATGAACGGAAAAACAACTAACTCGAAACTAAACACATAAGTATTCCTAAGAAAATGACCAACGCATCGCTAAATAAGCGCAAGATAATTGCACATTATTAACAAATGATTTATTAATACATAACTTGCGCAAGCGCATTGGTAACTACGGAGTTTTGGTCATGAAAAATTGAGATTGAAAGTTTTTGTGCTTGCGGTAAAATGCAAACACAACGACTTTTTCGCTACAAGACGATATCTTCTGTTCCTCACCTGTGTAGATATCGCACAATGACGCCATTAGATCAGTGTTTCCATATGATGTGTGGTCATGATGCATCATAATAGCTCAAATTTGCTTTTCAGTGGAACCATAAGTCTAACTAGTGTTCGTTATTCAACATCAAACTCATATTGGAAAATGCACAAAATTGCTAAAAGTAAATTTAAAAAGAAACCACACTGCTCAAGGAAGTAGCAAAAAAATCTGCCAACTGTAATAAACATGCCTATCTGTAAGAATCTTGAAACATGCCAAGCTATGGTTCTTAACAGTTTTATTTTGGACGGCTTCACAGAACAAGATCAGGTTAAACGATTCAAAAAAGAACATACAAAAAGCAGTTATGTATGCACAATCATATGAAGTTAAAAAGCAAGAAGACATTTATCGCACATTGTGATGCTCATTAACAGGATCGTGGAGCTAAGAGCAATCAGCAACTCACAAAAAGTGTAAAATGATAATGCAGGTGTTAAAGTACGCACACACCGAATATCATCACATCTCAAACTAGTACTGTATAACAAAATACACAAGACATGTGCTCCGCCTACAAATAGGCTAAAAAGCGGCAATCGCCCCTAACTGACACGATTGGTCACATCTGATGATCTACAACGATACACCCCGTTCTCCCGTTCAGGAAATATGCCCGCTACACAATAACCTAGGCGCGTGGAAATGACTGGTCCGATACGAGGGCTCCGCGGAGACAGGCGTCGGCAGTGAGCCGGCCGGCACGGCGTGTTAATGCATCTTAGATACAAAAATAGCATCCCATCGGCCGGCCACGCCCGCCAATGGCTACAACAGGGAACGGTTTGCGCTGCGCACGGACACTAGCGTGCAGAGACGCACCGTCGGCCCCACGCGGCCCGCGCGCACTACTGAGGTACGGGAATCCCGGCCGGCCCCTCCGACCACTGACGTCTCAACGTCAGCTGACGTGACGTCACCGCCGGCGCTACTGACGCTGTCCGAGCCGCCGCGAGATATCACCCGGTCCGTCCGGCTCTTCGGTCCCTCGAGAATCGGCTCCGTTTGGCACTGAACACCCCGACACGCGCGCACCACACGCACACTCACTCACACGCTCACTCAAACAGAGCGTCCCATTCCGGAGCTGGTCCGAGGCGGCTGGCGGTCACGAGGCGCCCGTTCGTCCCGCACCGGCCGCTCTCTCCCCGGCGCACGCACACGCACATCCCACTCTCTCACACGCACTGCGCCCGTGTCTCATGGCGCGCGGCACGCGTGCTCCGCGCACGAGCGCCGTGCCGTGCTCTCACGACTGGTCCGGGGCGCACGTGCACGCGCTCGGCCACTACGCGAAACGATCGTTCCCGTTCGAGCCGTTCAGGTCCAGATCGGCGCTCTGGAACAGAGGGGGCGGTGTCGGTACTGGAACAGGTGTGAGCGGAGGCACGGAGCGACCCAAGAGCATCCTCACCCTTATCCAGCTCCTAACGGTTCTGACTGATGGCAACGGGAATAATTCTGCCCACTTGAATACGGTATTCGGGTATAAATTGGGCATACACGTAATGTAGATTGAGAGTATTTTGCAAGTGATTCGCAGGGGAGCATGCCCTTTAATATTGCTTTTATTGAAGGAACAGGGTAGATACACTAATGAGCTATACCTACAGTCAAATAATGACTTACGAACAATCACCACGTAAAACAATAGCTGAGCTCCGTTACGCAATGCCCGATTATGCAACGATAGACACATAAAATGAACTACTGTATAGCATTAACTATATAGCTCGACACTTGGACAGCAATGCAAAACCATCGCGGCCAGACCCAAATGTATACCTGCGAGTCAGGGTATATTCTGCGATCCATGCTCACAACAGACGGGGAAATGAAATAGAGGCAGGAGAGTTTAGGCTGCAGTGCATAGTGCACTACGAGGATAAATACTCGTCTACTCGATCGCAGCCAGAGAAAAGCAATTATAGTACAGGATACGATAAAGTAAGCAAAATAAAAAAGACCAAAGAAAAGGAAAAAGAATGAAGGATTCAGCTAGTGACAACTGACAACGCTTAACTGTAATGAGAGAAGTCATTAGTTAGAAGAACGAAGAGAGAGAAAAAGAGAAAGAGAGAAAGAGGAGAGAAAGAGAGAGAAAGAGAGAAAGAGAAAGAGAGAGAGAGAGAGAGAGAGAGAGAGAGAGAGAGAGAGAGAGAGAGAGAGAGAGAGAGAGAGAAAGAGAGAGAGAGATGGATAAAAGAAAAGAAAAACAAAGAGACAGTGTAGAGAATGGGGAGGAAGGGGCACAGAAAGTGAACGAATGGAAAGCGAAAGGAGTGAACTAAGGCGGCAGTACAAAACAAAACAGACAAATCATCCATCATTCTTTGCCGGTCATGCATGCCCAGAGTCATCTTATCGCCTTTCCCATTCACTCCTCTCTCCCCTCAGCTTTGCTCTCCGTGGGCCGGGGCGGGTTCAGACTTCAGACACCACTCCACTGCGGAGCGGTCAGTCGGTAGCCGGCGGGGGTCGGTGGCCGGGAGGACGGGGTCACAGGTCGAGAACGGGCCGTAACACCCTAACGGTGAGAGGATCACGCGTCACGACAGGGCCGTGACGCGGCCAGCTACCGTGACGCGGTGGCGGCGCGCGGGGCGCGTGCTCGTCCGCGCGCCGCCGGCCATGCGCGGGAGATCCGCTGGGCATCGGCGGCCATCTCCTCAGAACGGACATGCAGGGGAAGCGGGCGGAGTGGCCGTGACGAGTAATTCAGTTGTTCGTCGGGCTTTTTCATTTATCTGAGTTATCGGCATATTGTAGGTTGTTTCAGACTAATAGAGCATCGATGACAATGCGGCGCCTCATAAACCTAACTACCTGGAAACACTCGGCATAATTTGCCAGGATATCGCTGCCTGCCCGATATATGTAAGGGGGAGAATTGGACATGATGTGTGAACATGAGAGAGTGATTGTTAACTTAGAAATAAGAAGACATAAAATATGAATAGATAACAAAATGAAGTAACAAATAAGATAAGTGGATTAGCGCTTACCGATCAACATCAAAATAATGCGTTTTTGGCCAACCAAAAACATAGCTACTCAAGTAAATCGGGACATAGGGTGTAAAAATCAGTACTTTCTACACCACCGCATATTTCTTTTTGACTTCATGTTAGGCATATTGCATTTTGGACAAAACAGTCGTCGAAACCTTAACCCTATTCCTGGCGGGCTCCGCCGGGACAAGAAACTGGCGGGGGGGGGGCCGATTCGGCCCCCCCCTGAGATCTCGAGAACGAAGCAAGATAGCGACAAGCGGTAAACGGCATCGGATACGCACGGCCAAGATCTACAATTTTTACTAAGGTCATTTTCAGGTCAGGTCAAAGATGACGTCACAGGGGTCGAAAAAGTCAAAATGGCGGCGCTAGATATGGAGAGAGTTTTTCTCGAATAACTTTCGAATTAGTCAAGATAGGAACAAACTAAGGGCATCATCGTGATCCTCTCGTCAATCCGCATCGAATGATATATATATGTTGACCTCGAAAGGTCAAGGTCAAAGGTTGACCTCAGGTCACGTGACCTCGAGGTCATCATGTATATCATTCGATGCGTCTTGACGAGCTGAACACAATGAGACCATCCACGCGTCTGTATCTTGTTCCTGTACGGAGTTATTGGCCAAAAACCTTTGGTGACCTTTGATGACGTCACATGACCTCACAGCTGCCCAACAGCAAAACAGACCTCAAGGTAGTGAAGGTTGATCGTATAGGAAGTCATGTATGGTATATGGGGCCATTCCGACCCGTTTTAGTGGTAAAAACAGGGAGTTGATTTTTCCCCCATTGACTTATAATGGGGAGGTCGCGAAATTGACCTGACCTTAGGTCACCGATATCAAAATTCCGAGATATACAAATTGCACATACTGGTACCCTAACTAAACCCTGAAGAGAAGAAATTGATCGGTCAAAAACTCTAGCTCTGGCGTGATTGCAAACTTTTCTGAGGTAGGGTCACCAAACTAGAGGTCTGCACCGGCCGGCTGCAGCCGCGGCTGGCTGCAGCCCCACGGCTGTGGGCCGGGGCGGCTGCAAATATCTCCAAGAACACGGCTACGGCTGTGGCCACGGCTGTGAGATTTCAAGCTCAATCTTAAGTACTCAAATATAAAATTTTAAATCCTTAATCTTACATTCTGATAAGCAGTCTAGCCTGTAAAAATCATGCAAAGGATGCCCAGCAACATTGAAAGTGGTGAAGCCTTTGAAAACCTGTAATAGTTTTACCATTTGCTGTAGGGGAGTTTGCTTTCTGGTACAGAATACTAATTATAGGTACCAATTGTTCCTTCATCATTAAGAGCTTGACAGTTTCAGAAAATGCAACATGTTGCATTGTCACATTCCTCTCAAATCAATCTCACCTGGTCATTAGGAGAGCACCTTACAGCTATTGAAGACGAGCGTTCAATAATTCTTTCAGGTAATAGAAAAAGAAATCACGCCTAGATGAAGGCAGGTAAAGGCTTCATAAAATATTATCTAAAATAACTCTCAGATGTATTTCTGGATTTTCGGCAAGTCCAATTACATAATATAAAACTGGCGCTTTATGTTCTAACTGGTGTGTGTGTGACCGCTAACAGAAAATGCTCATGAACGAAGCCAATGGAATTAGAATATAAGTGAGCATGAACCTTACTTACTTCACATGATGGTGAAAACCCTGAACACGTAATTCACATGACTGTGAAAACCCTGAACACAATATTTATTACGCGAGCTGTTGACTTTACTAATAAAATGACGTCTTCTTCTGAAAATGTAAAAATTTGATGTTCAGTCTTTGTTTGAGAGCAAGTTTTTCAATTGTATAGCATAATTATTTATGAATAATAATTTTTATGGCTGTTTTTAGTGACACAAAACAATTTTTCGCCACTTTTTTGCTATTGACGTCATTAAAAACTCAAGTAAAATTTTTGATTGAAAGAAGCAATTGTGGCTCGCACGTCCTTAGGGATTTGAGCGAAGATCATTATTTGGAAAAATCAAAATATATGAACGTTTTCCTTTCTTGGATGCTCACTAGTGTTTTGATGATGCCTTGCATATCAAATTAGTTTGAGACTTGCTCAGAAGGCTGCTTCAAGCCTGGCATATCACACCCCAGAAAATATGCAAGGTAAGAAAGAAGCAAGAGTTTTGACAAGACAATCACTGTTTGACAGTCCATCAACTTCAGTTACATTTTCCATACCTAACATTGATAATGAAAAGCATCAGGGTCTGTTGTTCTGTCCCACAACCATGCTTCAGGATTTGGCATTATATATCTACACTGCTAGTGCTTCTTTCTGGTTCGTTGTTTGTTTTCTGTTGATGTAGGTAGTAGGTACCACCTACCTACCCATCTTTCTTAACCCCTTGCAGGGACTTGTGTAGGCATGCGATGCGCATCAGGCTTCAGGCCTTCGGCCTAAAGCCAGATACACAACCACTTAACCTATGATGCTTCATGAGCTTGAGAATCTACAGCCCATTGCAATGTGCTTTTGGCTATAGGTATATTTCAACTAAAAACAACTTATTATATACTATTTGGTTGCATTTCATTGAAAGTATCCACGGCCGGCTGACGGCTGGCTGCCCACAGTTTGCCACGGCTGTGGGCGGCTGTGGCTGTGGAGCCACGGCTGTGGGGCGGCTAGGCTGTGGAAAATTGCAGCCGTGCAGAACTCTACACCAAACCGCCTCTGGTGACCTGACCTGAGGTCAGATCAACTCAAAAATTTCAGACATGTTGCGTAGAAGCCTTTTAGGAAAAGTCAGAAAATTTGAGCTTCCTAGCTCAACGCGTTTGGGAGAAATAACCAAAAAACCTCAGGGGGGGGCTCCTGAGGCCCCCCCCCCGCCAGGAATAGGGTTAACAAGTAATAAGAGGTAAAGTAATGTTAATTGATCGCCTCTTATAAGAGGCGATCAATTATAATGATAATTATATCAATTACAATTATAATTATAATGATAATTATCATCTAGACGAGAGAATGCTTCAACTTTTATATGCGCTTACCAAGTAAAATGCAACCTATTTCAAAATAAAAAAACCGTTTATCCACCGCAATCAGTAGGATGACAGACGTGCATACCACCAGAACACACGATGCAGGACAGACACAAAGACAAAGTCGTGCGCAAGAGCATGCAGCCGGTCCGAAGAGAAGACTTGCATGCTTGTATGCCAGGAAAGAGCACCTCGCTGTTCCATCTGAAACCGACCTGGACGGACCACGAAAAATGCTATGCTATGATATGCTATGCTATGCTAAGCCACTGACGAAGACCGGACAACAGACAGACAGCCAGACAGACAAAGCGACAAAAGCCGAGCGAGACAGGCAAGAGAGGCGAGCGCGGGCTCCTCGAACCTACTGCGATGACCGGTAGATGTCAGGTACGTCGCTACAGGTCGCTAGTCTCTCGGCGAATCGCCTCGAAAGAGTTGGACGGCTGCGACCCAGGCTAGAGTTAGACAAAGGTTACAGCTGAGTTTTCGGCTGAGTTAGACAGAGTTCACACACCGCCGACTCACGGGATAGACCGGCAGATGGGAAGGAGACATCCATAGAAGGAAGACACTACGGTACCCGGCACACACCAACAATGCGACAGTGGAACTGAACGTGCATGCAACACGACAAACGTGATACCCAGTGCGGTGATCCGTCTAAAAAAATAAACTCAGCAAAACTATCAATCAAAGCCACCAGCCGAAAAGGTCTGTTTGAGATGTTAATTCCTTTGGCTGCGATTTGCAGATTCAACTTAAAATTAGGTGCACTGAGGCTGAATGTTATTGCTTCGAGAAATAAACACATTTTGTAATTTTTAACCCCCTTCATCCTTCGCTGTTCCATCATGGCGCCGCTTTAGCAAGCGGCGCCATGATTTAAGTGCGTAGCACTTTTGCGCCAATTGCATACTTTATTTGTTATATTCATCTGTTTGTTATTGAATAAATGGTCTCTCTCTCTCTCTCTCTCTCCTTCCTGTAAAGAACAAAAGAGCAGGGCAGGAGCCATAACTCGAATTAGGTATATGTGCTTCACCTCTACGATATTGTTTAGATTTATCTCAAGGCCGATTTACTAATAGCTGACTGCTAAAGCCACTTTGGTGCTTGCCAAAGACCTTTCCTATGATATAGAGTAGCCTTTGCGCATAACAGTCATATGCAGCAATTTTTACTTCGTATCCTCTTATTTCGATCATAGATCGAAATGATCATAGACTTCCATCCGATATAACAAAACCAAATCAAACACCACACACAAACAATTCACCTGAAACACCAACAGCACAGCAGCCACCCTCCCCCTGCCTCAGATCCGGCGCCCACCTTAAACGCCGGGTTCTCGTAGCTGGGCCCGTTCTTCCTCGCGGGCGTGATGGGCGCCTTGGCGTGGCTGGACTTTCTGACGAGGCACACGGCGCAGATAATGGCCAGCAGGATGGCCAGCGCGGCGATAATGGCTGCCACCACCATCCCGCTGTAGTAGCTGGCTGCACCGGCCAGCTGCGTCTGGTCCCGCTCTGAGGGACGGGCGGGGTCGTCAGGGTAGAGGGAGAAGTGGGAGGGTCGATGATGAACTCAGAAACAAGAGTGATTGCTTTCCAAATTGTAGTCACGAGTGAGATTACAAATCAATTATTGGATGCGATGTTTGTCGTGTAGACTCTTATGTAGCTACGACTTACTTATCGTTTACCATGGCATTAGGTAGGTAGAGGAAAATTTGTCTTACTGTGTGGCGGTACACCGACACGTTTGCTCTTATCTCGTGTGCTACCGTTTCTTTTTCTATCAATTTTATTAGCTCAATCCAGTATGTAATAAATATTCGGTTACCAGAATGTAAGCACTAGACTCACCGTTTTCATCTCCCTTGATCTCCTCGGCCTTTCCGATCTCGCCCGGCTTTGTGACAAACTCCTGTACCTCCGAGACCCGCTTCTTGCCGTTCTTTAGGTATGCCTCCAGCCACACTTGGTACCTGCGGCGGGAGCGGAACGAACCGGTGAGTACAGTCTACAGAGGCACGATTCAGCGGGTGACGACCAGGGATTCGGGTTCTGAAAAAACGTCCCACATTGCCGAAATGCAGGTAACACCGTTAACAAGAAATGTTTCAACCAAGTTTTCTAAGGATCGATGCAGTTCCCTTCGGGAACTCGATGCATATACTTCGTTTGCTCAGCTACCCACAAAAGGTGCTGCTACCTCAATGCCTACTCAAAATTATACACCAGCTGTGAAGCGATGAATACTCACTTGCTGCTGGGTTTGAGTCCCTTGAGCAGCAGCGACGGCTGGTCGGAGGTCTTGGCCAGCTTGAAGGTGTGCTTCTCCTCGCGCTCCTTCTCGTAGATGTAGACGATGCGGTAGACGTTGACGTACTTGTACTGCGGGTCCGGGATGCCGGACCACTCGACTCGCACGGAGCTCGGCTTCACCTCGGCCAGTGTCAGAGTCAGGTTGAAGTCGTACGGGTCTGTCGGCACAGGGGTGAATGAGGGCGCAATAGGGTCAATAGGGCGCAGCGACCAGCGAGGACCGGTTCAATAGCGGCAGTATATCTGGCGGCATGTTTTGACAGTCGTCCTTTTCATTGCCATTACGACTCACAAATTCCTTGCGCCACATACATTACAAACGTTACATTACGAATTACAAACATAGCAACTAAAAGGTTTTTACAACAACATAGAACTCAGGCGATTTGTGATGCATATTCAATGTGAATCAGCGTTTTGATGGCACATGATTAAAATTTGGCTGTCGTTTAGGAGGCTATCTTAGGTCACACCGATAATATCCATCCCAATCTGTGACCGGCCATACAAGAGTCGATTATCTGTGATGCTAAGTCAAAGTGATTAAGCGGTTCGATGACACCTGTGAATGACATTTTACTGTCATTTAGGAGTCTTTTATAGTGCTTCTGTGTATTTAACCGTATTCCAGGCGGCTGCATGTCCTATTTAAGCCACACCGGTGAGCTATAGCCCACTCAGTGACCGTCCACTGACCGACGACGGGCAGAGTGCGGATGCGCAGCGGCCGCTCCGACACCAGCTCGGTGTTCTTGTCCTGGAAGGGCATCAGCACGATGTCGACCTCGTAGCCGGTGCCGGGCTTCAGCTCGGTCAGCTCGTACTGCGTCAGCTCCCGGTGGATGAACGGCGTCATCGTCCACACCTGAGGGGGGGGGGGGAGGGAGAGTCGTCATGGTCAATACATTGAAGGATGGCAGGGGTGATTGAGCGGTTCGATGACACATGTGAATGAAATTTGGCTGTCGTTTAGGAGGCTATTATAGTGCTTTCTGTGTATTTAACCGTATTCCAGGCGGCTGCATGGGCAATGGTTCACACCGGGGATCGAGAGGACAGAAAGAAGTCATGGACAGAAAGGAGGGCCGAAACGACCCACACCTGGGGATGGAGGGGTCATGGTTTCTGCCTGGAGAGACTGAAGAGATGTTCATTGTTCAAATTAGCGTTGCATATAGTGAGCAAGCAGAAATTCGACCCAGAGATTGACCTGAACATCGAACCCTGGCATCGTGACTGACTCTACATATCACACCCTAGCCCTTGGCACTGTGGGTGACCTACGGACCAGCCCCTGGCCTTCTAACATAAATCTAACATAGCACACTGACCTGTGCGTCGACGTCGACATCCCTGTAGCGCAGCTGGATGCCGTCAATGTACTTGAGCTCTGTCTCGTTGAGTCGCCTCCAGCCGATCTTGGCCCAGGTGGTGTTTATGTCCGTGGCCACCAGAGCGGCGTCCAGCGCCACCTTGGGCGGCAGCGTGGTGCCCGCTGCGAGACGGCAGGGGAGTGGGTTAGTGCAGGCGGAGTTATCTTGTTTGGAAGACAGGAGATATTTGTTTGGACATGGAGGTGGCACAGGGCGTTATCTTGACCTCTTATTCCCGATAACCACCAGTCATGAATATCTGTTAGCAACGGGGTCTCCAGTCATTTTGTCTTGTTAAATGATGCAGAAAAACGGCAAACAGTGCCATATACACGGAATCTGTATATATGTACCATATGTACCATATGTATACGGAATCTACACTTCCTCGACGGAAAAATGAGTTACCCACGATTACTGCACAAATCTCCGTGAAACAAAAACTTCCCTATCAGCGGTTTCTCTCCCTCGCCCTTACACCCAGCCGACCTCATTACTCACGTGAAGGCAGTGGCAGCGTGCGGACCTCGTGGAGGCCTCCCTGCAGGTCGGTAGTGCCCTCGTCAAAGGTCACCCTGGCCTGGAGCAGGTACTCTGTGTCGGGCGCCAGGTCTCCCAGGGTCCAGCTGTACTCGGAGGCGGTCAGACGGCCGGTGGGAGTGACGAACATGCGCCGGTCCCAGCTGGACAGGTTACCCTCGCTGACGGATAGATGGGTGGCCGGTTAGCGGGTTTCGGAAGCGGGGTCGGTGGCAGCTGGCAGGGGTGAAAGGCGGGGTTTAGGTGTAATAGAACGGGTCTCAGATGATAGAATGATCGGATAAAAGGTCCGTTCATTGATCAAAACGCTGATATTCGTATTACCAGAGATCAGGCTCGTAGGCCGTAGCATGACAAGTATGAACTGACTTCGCACATCCATCCAGAGCATCAAGGGCCTAGAAACTTCCTCATCCACTCTCTATGCCTCAATTACCTGTCAAACAGTCCAGTGTTGTCCGTGTAGAGCACCTCGGCTTTTCCGGCCAGTCCGACAAACTGAGGTGGCAGGGTAAAGTTGATGTGGATGGAGCTGGGGTCGGCAGCATCCACCACCACGTTCTCCAGCATCAGAACTGTGAATGGGAGGGAGGGAGGTCAGGGTCGGCTGCATCCATCAACACAGTCTCCAGCATCAGTACCGTGAGGGGGGGGGGGGGGGTCAGCAGCGGTCTGGGTCGGCACTCCACTGGAGGGTGGAAAGAGAGGGGCTCTATAGCGCGCGGATTGCATGAGGGTGTAAGCTAGTTCGACGAAAGCCTCATCAAATAGGTAGGTAACATGAGTCGGAGAAGTGCGTTCATTTCATCTGATATCGAAATACCCAGGAATTTAACATCGAACACATCATTACTCGAACGTTTATTGCTCCCGCCCAACTGCTGACCAACCGTTCAGCCGCTGCACAGCCTCTGTGACTCACCAGTGGGCAGTGTGGGTTCCGGTTCCGCCGTGGTTGTAGTGGTTACCGGAGGTTCTGTAAACGCCACAGACATAGGTTATTCGTACAGAAAGCTCAATCTGAGACAGTCTCAGGATGGCTGACAATTATCTTCAGTGAAAGTGCTATATAGTACATACATTAGACACTGAGTGATACAGTACGGAACATCAAAACCTGCAGTTTAGTGGGAGTGGTAGACGGTAGTCGTCTATTTTGAAATGTACAACAAAAATGATACAAATGTCCGACAAAAACGAAACATGACAGGCTCCAACATTGAGAAAAGGTTCAAAAGGGTTTATCAATAAGTAATGATTGATATACAGCGTTACTCGTTATTTCGACAATTTTTAATCTGGTTATATTTGCATTCTCATCGTTATCGCTGAGGACAAATTTGGCAGCATTTAGTTATCTTTGAAAGATACTATGAAACAACTATTGCAGCTTTTGATCTGCACAATACATATGTAGCGGAATGCACCTCGCCAAAATCTCAGCCGCTCAGACAGCATGCCGCCGTCATGCACCTCTACAAGCAGAGCTCGATGCATGGCCAGATACGCTACAACGCAGACCTGGAGCGGCCACCGTCTATTCTACATCTTGTCTGCAGGCAGGTCCCTGTCCGCCAGAGCTCTCTGAGAAACCATAACCGTCCGTATAGCTCTGCAGCTAGGGCGCATCTCTGTCCTGTGCACTGACGCAATTGAGGATTTGGGAACACCGGATCCCGGCGTTCCTGATGAATGGGCGGTTCATACTGAGAATGTACAATGTACAGACACCGAGTGTTTTAGCGTACCGTCACCAGGCGGCAGCACCATCACCGATCAGCTGAGCGGGAGCGCCGGCGGCCCGAACACCGCGCGAAGGTATACTCGTAAGTGTTTAAGGAGCGGGGGTTAGTCGCACCGCGGGCGCCTCTCTGCGTTTAACGGATACCTACCTTTACGTCGACTGACGGGGAAGTTCGGAGAGGAGGATACCGAGGCCAGGAGCTCCTTAATGAGCGTTTCGTCGTCGAGGTCGGCGCCGAAGGGCGGCTGCTGCGTGGTCCGCTCCGGGCTGGTGGGGAAATGGATCGGTCGCGCCGGTCGCGTTGGACGGCTGGTGATCGGCGGCCGGGGTCGGAACGGCTGGTCGGGGAAGTGTATCGGTCCGGAGGGACGCGCTGGCCTCGGCCGCTCCGTGGTCGGCGCCTCAGTCTGCGGTACGTCCGTCTCCGGCTCAGTGGCGTCCGGCGGCGGGGTCGCAGCGGTGCTCCCGCCTGATTGTTTCGCTGCTTCATCGTCCACAGGTTTGGGCTGCGACCCCAGAGGCCGCACGGTGACAGCGGCTATCAGAGGCGGTTCCTCGACCTCCGGACGCTCCGTAGTGGTCACTTGGACGGCGTCCTGCTCAGGAGTCGAGCCGAGTACGCCCGTGTTGGGCGTGATCTCGCCGGCGGTGGCGGCGGTGGTGACGTCAGAGAGGATGCCCTCTGGCGACGTGGGCAGACGATGCGAACGGTCACCCACCGACCAGGAAGGATCGAAGGCATAGGTGAACACGCCCGGAGGCGCACCGTCCGGGGTCTCTAGGTCAACCACAGTCACGTTACGGGGCGCATGCGCGTTAGGTCCGTCTGAAAGGAGACAGGGTGAGAGCGCAGTGAGACGTGCAGGCGAGCCAGTGGAGCGTGCGGTGAGAGGGGTCAAAGCTCGGGTCAGGCAGGTCAAAACAAGCGTAACAAAGTCAGTTTAAGAACGGGTTCCGTGCAACGAAACGTCGAAGTAATGGGAGCTTGTCGTGGTCGTTCCGTGGTGCTGACATGCAGAAAATGCGTCGGTCAAATTTGGATAAATATCGAAAAAAAGTCCTCTTTTTCATATTGTCCGACACAAGACGGTCGTAACTCTCAAGTCAGTGAGAAAAACCCGTGACACTGTTGGAATGAACGAATTTGGCACATGCCACTGAAACGTGCAAACAGTATTTTTAAAAATCCAGTGACCGTACTCGTGTAGAGCTCATGCGGTGCAAAGGTGGGTGATGGAAGTTTCAGCATTCTCGATCATGCGGTGCAGTCGTCTACAGTCGTGATGCGTATGATCGAACTAGGATAGAATGGCACACGGAGCAAATCAGACCTTTTTGATCATCCATGCAAATGTCAATACATACAACGACCATTTATGGCCCAAATAACCTCTGCAATCTGCATATTTATAGGTGTTCCCGAAAAGTTACTTCTAGATGACACAGCACTCAAAGAAAACAAGTGAGAGCACAGACTACTCGCTCTAGCGTTACAACCATCCACCCAGACACGGACAACACACAGACCCCGACCCAGCACTCCATGCACCCCGCCCCTCCGCCTTCCCTGGGTACTCACCTATCTTTGCACACTGCCAGAACTGGCAGCAGCCGTTCGGTCCGGTGACCAGCTCCGTCTGCTCGGGAGGACAGGGCAGACCGGCGGGCGGCGCGTCGGGCACCGCCGGGCAGTCCGGCTGGCAGTTGACCTCTCCGAACTCGCAGTAGCAGCGCTGGTGGCAGCCCGTCAGGTTCTGCGGGATCTCGTACTGGTTGCGGAACTTCTGTCCCTGGTAGATGCAGTGACCGTCGTCCTTACAGACGGCCTCTCCGCAGCAGTCGGGCGGCTGGCGGCTCGGGTCGCGCGGCACCTCCCACTCCAGACAGTCGGGGTTGAGCAGATCCAGGCCGAACCTTACCGGGCAGCGGATCGGTGCGCACATCTTACCAGCCTGGCCACAGATACAGAACTGGCGGCAGCCGTCGTGAAACTCGTCGCCGACCTTGTACAGCTTTCCGTCGTGGAGACAGCCCTCGGGGCGCAGCGTGGTCACCTCTGGAGCCGGTGTGGACTCCAGCGCCGCGGCGGCAGCCACCGGCACCGTCTCACCGAGAAAATCTGAAACGGCCCGGAGAGCGGGATCAGAGGCGTAAGGAGCGGAGGTCTGACGGGGCAGACAGACGGCTTGGCATTATTTTTAATTGATGCGACTAGTGAGCGACCCAGAGGCTATGTTAAGAAAAGTGATATTGGCAAGACATCGATATGTTAGCACAAATATGAGATACGGCTGTATTCAACCCTCTATATGCAAACCCAGCATTGTAAGCATATATTCAATTGATTAAGACCTTTGCAGATTTCAGTACAAAATCAAATATCCACACTTCACCAAACTTAAGAACAGGTGTTACTTGGTTAGACAACTTGACAAGCGAGTTACGGAATAACGTTAATCAATGGAAATAAAGCCAAACAATAGAAGTGAAGCGTTGATTATGAACACACGGTTAAAACGTTACAGCGAACGCAGAATATTCACACACCATCGTTACTATAAAGCTAACAGTAGAAAATGTACACAGATGGTTGTTTTATAAACAGCGCCCACACCACCATAGCACCTCTGACGACTAAAACAGCTCTGCGCCCATCGCCAAGTATGTACACAGTGTTGGTCAGTACAGGAGTCAGACAACAGTCCCTCTCACACCGAGTTCACGCCTGTTATCCCGATCTCGCGATTTCGCTAGTATGTCTGACACCGAGAGTTTCTGCAGCGAATCTATGTCCAAGCTCAACTATCTATTGAGAAAATAGATATGTAACGTATGTGGTAAGCGCTGGTGGAGGTTCGATCGAAAAGTCTTCAACTGGGCCCTAACACGCATTGTTTTTTACTTTGAAAGGACGGCTTACCGAGATTACAGCAACAACAAATAAACGCGACAAATGTGAGGGGCTGGAAGATTGCGGAAAGGCAAGGCAAATTAAAAACGCACTATAAATTATAAGGGTGGAACATTAGAACGGGAGGTGAATTAGATTGTCTGAAAGAAAGAAGAAGCGTTATAAAGACGTCAAGCTAGCCATAGCCTACAGCCACCATCACCTTGTAGATTAGATCACCTGAATAATACGCACACCCACATCATGCTACCTTCACCTGCATATTATCGCCGCCACCGTTACCAGCTCCAAGTTCAGACTCCCACCAGCGGCTTCACCGAATACCGATAGCTGCTCTGCCCAGCTCCTCGCGTTAGCTCCTCGCGTTAGCTCCGCCGCCGCTGTTAGAACGCCCGCCGCCGGGCCGTTAGCTCCTGGAGGCCTGTCTCCGCGCCTCGCCACTCGCTGTGTTACCTGATCCTCGCTCCGTCGCTGATCGCTCCTCTTCCATCCCCAGACCGGCGGCGAACAGCGCTGGGCTCAGACCGGTGAGCTGGATCTCAGGCTCCTCCTCCTCCGCCGAAATCCTCGCCTGCCCGCGCCGCGCCTCCACGCCTCCGAAGGGAGATGTGTCGCGCGCGGGCGCCTCCGAGGGCAGCGGCTGCACGTCAGCAGCCACCGTGGCCGAGGTCTGCACGGTCATCACGCGGATCAGGGTGGGGATCTTCTTCACGGCCACGATACCGACGGAGGGAGCCAGGCCGCCGGGCCGCGGCGCCTCGGTGGGCTCGGCAGGTCGCGCGGTGCTCGAGGGCTCCTCGCCAGGGATGGGGGCGAATGTGATGAGACCTGTGATGCGCCGAGTGGTGGGCACGGTGCGCGGAGTGGTGCTGGTGACGGCGGCACGGGTGGTGATGGTGCTGCTGACCGGCTGCACTGGTGATTCCGTCGTTTGGTCAGTGATTTGATCGGTGGTGGTTTCGGAACCCGGAGGGCCGGAGGCTGCTCCGTCCAGAGCTATCTCCTCCGGTGGCTCAGTTGAGTTCAACGTCCAGGCGTCACTCTCACTCAACAACTCGTCTTTGAACTCCTCCCTAACAACATCCAATCCTTCACTGCTGACTGACGACTCGGTCGAAACAGCCGGCGCCTCTGTCACAGCCTCCTCAGACCCTTCTGGCACCGGAGCCTCTATGGTCGTGCTTTCCACGGCACCCCCGCTTTCAGACAAGCTCTCCACTTCCTCTCCCGCTCGGGACTTGGTCTCCTCAATCATTGTCGGCTCGGTCGGACCAATGGTCGCGCCGTCCATGGTCACAGTTGTGGTCTCCATGGAGGAACCTGTCGCCAGCAGATCATACGACTCAGTAGCTATGACCTCAGGGGGCTCCGTCTCTCCACTCCTCTCCGTGGTCGACTGGACCGGTATGTCCATTTCCTTAGCCTTTTCCGTAGCGATTTCGTCCTCCATTGCCTCCACAATAGCGTTGTTGAGAGCCTTCACCTCCTCCTCGTCCAGTCCTCCGCTGAGGCCGGTGAGATTGATCTCGATCACGTTGGAGATATCGGTGGTGGAAGGGGTCTCCTGTGCTGCCGTGGTGGTTTCTGGCGAGGAGGTGGTGGTTCGCTCTCCCGCGGCGCCGGCTGCTGTGGGAGGTTTGGATGGCACCTGGGACACCAGCGTGCTGGCAAAGGTGGAGGTCTCAGCAGGGCCGGTGGTGACCCCATCCCGTGATATCTCGGTCTGAGTCGGCTCTGCCGTAGTTGCCTCAGTGGTTGAAGGTGGTGAATCAATTGTGTTTGTAGCAGAGTCCGCATCCTCCACAGCCTTCGTGCTGACTTTCTCACTTGATTTCGTTTTAGCCGCTCCAGCGGCGGGTGCACTAGCCACGTTTATTTCGTTCAGTTCATCCTCAGCGGTCACGCTCGAGCTGGATGCTTCAGTCGTGCTAGCCTCAGACTGCGTGAGGTTCTCCTCCTCCCCAGCCATCGCCTCAGAACTGGCCTTCTTCATCTCTGCCATCACAATCATCGGATCTTTCTCGGTCGTTTCGGTCGTCCCCTTCGTTGCCGTCGCCATTGTCGTCGCTTCTCCAACGTCCGCCTCGCTCTCACCCTTGCTCTTTTGCTCTTCTCTCAACATGATCGGCGCGGCCAGATGCGTGATCTCCTCCTTCACCTCCTTCTGGCAGCTCTTCACCCAGCAGCACGCATCTTTCGTGTCCTCTACCAAGATACAGCCGGGATCCTCGGGTATCGTCACCTCGGGGCAGCGCGGCAGACAGAACAGCTCACCACCCGGGAAGCAGACGCAGCGCTCCTCACAGCCGCGGAAGAACACCTCGCCAGCGGCGCGGGTGTCGTTCCCGTCGGCACACGAGTCCCCGACCGGCAACGCCGGTGTGGAAGGCGCTGTGGTAGAGCTTGTTGGAGGCGATGTTGATGTAGTTGTAGAAAGTGTTGTTGAAGATGGAGACTCGTTTGTAGGAGTTGAAGTACTTGACGTGGAGGGAGAAGCCGTCGTCGAGGGTGCAGAAGCCGAAGTGGACTCAGGCGCAGGCTGTGCGGGCAGTGCAGGCGGCGCGGGCGGTGCTGCAACATGAGAGAGGCATGCAGAGATGGGCCATGCCGCGACAGAGCCGCGCACACCAGTTCAGTGAGCACAGGGTCAGACAGTGGGTGGACGGTCAGCCGTGCCGGGGCCGGTTATAGGTCAGGGCGCGGGTCATGCTGCCGAGACTACCGTCCGTCCGCCATGCGATCAGAGCGGCACACAGAGAGAGAGGGGGTGAGTGGAGAGAGGGGCACCGAGGGGTCGTGCTGGAGCTGTTACGGAGGGGACGGGAGATACGCCGGCTACCGGGGTAAAGAAACATGGACAGTGTCAAGGACATGCTGGCTCAGTTGATTGATATGTAAGCTTTAAGCAATGTTCATTGTTCGCCCACATGCTCGATTTCCTGATCGACCTACATACGATTTTGCAAATAAGTATACTCGATTGTTGATGGGAACAACAACGATAATTGAGTTCCCCGTAACTCACTGCATTAAGGTCATCGAGAAGCGAATAACGTCGAAATATTTTGTAGAAAATACTGGCACTGCGAATATGTTAGATAAACATCAAATTACTAAAACTGAACATCAAGTTTAATAGATCAAGCACAACCGGTTGGAGTCACGAAAACTTCAGCTAGTCCACTCGGAACATTCAGTCTTGCATGCCCGTGCGATGGGTGAAGCCAAAGATGCACTGGGTGCCACCGTGCTTTCGGGTGCAGTTGGGTGCGGGCGGGTGCCATTAGGGGTCAGATTAGTTGGCCGTGACCTCGGACAGGTCAGGACGGTGCCGGCGGGCATTTACCACAGCCGATTTCGTCGCTCTCATCGCGGCAGTCGAACAGGAAGTCACAGCGCTGCGAGGCGGGAATACAGGAGCCGTCTCGGCAGCGGAAACCCGGGTCAAACGAGCCGCACCGGCCTAGGGGGCGCACATAAACGGTCAGGGAGGGACCAGAGACTCCCGCAGCCTGATCGGTACATAGACGGTCAAGGAGAGACCAGAGTCCCTAGACGGCAGAAATGAGATGACGGGGGGGGGGGGCTGGGATATACATAGCTTGAATAGCGGAAACTGCTGGGTGTAAGGAGGGCTATTTCGCTTTGGAATACTTTCTATCAGGATTGGTGATGTAGCTGTTGCAGGATGGAGCTTCTTCAGGGCGGAGCACTACGATATATCAGGGACCGGGACACGAGCGGCACAGAGAGCACGCTCCACCAATAAATACTCTGTTCAGATGTGGGCTACATTTCGAATGTAATGTTCTGTCAAAAGTACATGCCGGACAAAAGAGGACAGAAGACAAGGGAGACAATGGGAGGTTCTCGACGAATAGAATAGAGACTAGAAGAGACAGTTCTAAATGTGATACTGCGTATGCAATTGCACCACTCACCCATAGCTAGGAAATGTCAAGAATTGACCTTTAACTACTAAATACCGAAAAGCTCGAAAACAAAATGCTGAATGAAATGGAAGAAGGCGAAAAACAACAAAAATGGCTGCTGCAGATTGACACCCCCAACCATATTGAAAAAATGTAAATCCACCAAGTGAGCACAAACCAAAATGAGAAGCCACGGCAATGGTTTCTCTGACCCTCTAACTCGACTTCCTCCGCCTTCCCCAACATTCCCTTCCCTTTCTCACACAGCAGTGCCCCAACCTACCTTCCGTGGTGGTCTCCGCCTCTGTGGGCGGCGGTAGGGTGGCATCCGTCGGCACTACGTCCCCTCCGCGCACCACGGCACTCGTCTCGCCGGCGTAGCTGACGCGGACGCGCGCCTGCCGCGGCCTCTGCAGGCCCTCCACCTTCATGACCAGCGTGTCCAGGGACTCGACGGAGAACTCGTCGACCCCCACCTCGGCGGCCTGCCAGCGGCTCGAGTCGTCGTACCGCCACTCCACAATCAGTGGCTGGGTGTTGGCGGAGAGGATACTGTCCAGCACTGCGTCGGAGATGAGCAGTTTCAGCTCCGAGCTGTCGGCGGTTAGAGGACGCAGCTCGGTGATCCGCAGAGGAGTGGCCTTCTCTCGGCGGCCGGCGCCGAGCCGCGGCTGCACTCCGGCCAGGATCTCGGCAGACTCGGTGGTGGTTTCGGCGGGGGTACAGACGGTGATGGTACAGCACGGGTCGGACGGGTCCGGCCGGGTGGTGCACGAGGCGCCCTCCAGTGGCTCCTGAGGCGCGCACCTGTCGAGAAAGGGGATAAGGTTAGGTAAGATACCAGTGTAGGGTTCGATGGGCAGCTACATGGCAATGAAGCAATGCCGGCGAATTGCAGCGTTTGATCGTGGGCATGTGATGACTAGCAGAGGGCTTTGCTGTGTGCGCCGATAAAGGTCATACCATGAGTTACACCAGCCAGACGCTTTATCGAGATCAACATCGCCCCGGCTCGTGGATAAGCCACGACACAAAACGTATAAAAACGAGCGAAACCACTGAGCAGGCTGCACCATTTTCCGCACTGAAACAATGCCAGGAGATCCCGATGTACTGAGTCAGAACCGGTAGCGACATTACGCACCGTTTCCTCCGACCCACGCAATGTGTATAATCTAGAACACCGCGTTCCCTGACGTCTGCAGCACCCGTTTCTGGACAACTACGCCCTTTAACGTCATGGCATGCATAGCAAGCGTCCCAGACTCGGGACAATCCGTACCTGGACTTGCAGAAGAGCTCGCCACCCTCCTGACAAAGGCAGGTGTCGCAGCCGCGCTCAAATGTGCTGTTGACGGAGTATTGTTGGCCGTCGGCTTCACAGGCCAGCGCAGAAGAGGGCACAGTGGTGGCAGCTATCGCAGATTCTGAAAACGATTCGTCGTGTCAGATTGACTAGAGTTGACCTGAGCTGTCAAGTTCACGCTAATTTGTATCTGGGAAAGACGGGAATAATGTAACAATGGGCAATTGACGTGAGGTATAAATCTGAGGTATTTGGGCTATTCGGCAAGAGCCGTGTCATGAGGAAACACCACATCTTAACCCAAACGAGTCATGCGAGGTATTCGGAATATTTTGTAAAATCCATTTACGTGTAGTTAACTAAGTGGAGCGTGCAGACGCAAGAAGTAATTCAGGTTGAATTCCCTGAAGATGTCGGATGATCTATTGTAATGTAGAGCATCACAAGGATCAGAGCATATCTACACGAATGAGATGCTATGCAAGAATTAACAACAAGGTCGAAAAATTCCAGAGAAATGCGCTACAAAGCTGCATGATTTGGAGTTTCCGAAAAGTTCCACATCCGCTTAATTAAAATTACAACTAAAATCACAACTAGTACGTACTACAACGAATATACAGAGTTGTAACAAGGGTTGCTTTTATCTCAGTGGTGCCATTGGTGACGGTGGTGCCGGCCTGACTCACCAGTAGTGGTGTCCGTGTCACAGACAGTCTTCTTGCAGCAGCTGTCAGCAGGGTCGGTCATCACGCGGCAGCCGGCAGACAGACTCGCCTCGGGGTCCGGCTCACTGGCACACCGCGCCTGCCGGCGGACGAGGGAAATGTGTCACAATTAGAAGCGTGAAGTGACATACGCAGTGCACGTATGTACAATATTTACATGTATATAGTCTAATGTCAGTTTAGTTTAAAGACGTATCGGCAAGTGAGTTCCGAACACGCTGCGTCACAGGAAGACTGCCATTAGACAGTTAATAAGATGGAAGCTACGGTGTGTGGTGTAAATGACACACATGCTCACATGATACGATAAAAGATCGTAAGATAACCAACACACGCCGACATCTTGATGAATGGGGTAGCGCTTACAGCAGCAATACTCCAAACGGATCTTCACACATCATCACCCGGCGTCATCCATGATCACACACCGTCACACGGCGTCACAGAGCGTGACACGAGCGGGCGGTCCGCGGTCACGGCTCATTCCCCTCGGGAAAGATACCGTGTCGGGACCGGTTCGGCGGGTCCCGACTCCCGGACCCCCCCCCCCCCCCCCCCTCCTGGGGAGTGGACCGACCCAGTGCCAGCAGGGAGCGGCAATAGAGCATCACGACCGCGACCGGTGACGTCATATCAAACGTGTGATGACGTCACGCACGGTTGGCGTAACGTGAGGTCAGTGACCGGGGGCGGACGGGCTAGGAGGGTTTGTCCATCGTCGCCAGCACGACCCACAGATAAGCCGGTGACAAGCTCACGTTTACAGCAAGGATGGACGGAGCGGCGTGATGTTACTTTGACCAGAGACTAAGACGTCTAAACTTGACAGTTTCGTCAACAAATGAAATCTGAGATGGTATCATCAAGGTCGGCACTCGGTATCTTTTGGACAAAGTCGCAAATCGTTACGAGAGTGAAGATATCATCATTCCCTAGAAAACACAGTGACATCATGCTGACAGAAAGAATGGTTATCTCGCTGTAAAAAAAAAAAACAGCTAGGAGTATCCACGATCATCACCTCATATCTAATAATAAATACAAATCTAGCTTCATTCATTTTCAGAGTGACTGCAGGATTTTACCACCAAATCCCGAACCGAGATTCATGCAGCTCACACAATTTCGAGGACAGCTACAAAGTTACATCAGCTAGGAATAAACTGATTGCCACTAACACAGTAATAGTGTGACATGTACTTTGCAACATCACATCTATCCATGTTTCCTCACCTTGCACTCGACCTCCTCGTCGCTGTTGCACATGCAGCGGAACTCACAGCCGTCGAAAAACTCGTCCCCGGGTCGGTACGTGGCGTTACCGTACGTACAACCCGTCTGCGGCACCGCCGCCGGCGTCGACTTTGTCCCTGTAACGGAGCGGAGACGTAGGTGAAATGTGAGACGAAGGTGTCGTCACACTGATACAAAGTTACGGCAGGTGAAGCTGACATTGGTCGATGAAACAGATAAGCATGAAGGAGATTGTGTGATTATTCCTCTCTCTCTCTCTCTCTCTCTCTCTCTCTCTTCAAAATGTTTTTCATAGACAGTTTTCTTATCGATACACTTTTTTGGTTCAGCCAGTGAGCGGCAAAACCACAGATATAGGTACCTGCATCAAGTCCCAATCTGCAGTATCAAAGCCCCCAAGTTTCTTTCTCTGTGAGCCTCCCAATGCCATTCCCATCGGTCATCAGAACCTTTCCCTCCCAGACCAGAAGGCTCACCAGGTCTGCACGCCTTGAAGCCGGCCTTCTTCTCCTCCCTGAAGCCGGGCGGGCACACGCACATGGCCACAGCGGTGACGTCACCGGCCGTGACGTCACTGACCTCCTTGGTCATCACCTCGCATACGTAGTTTTCGTCGCAGAGCACCGAGTCGCACGGGTCCGAGCCGTCAGCTGGCGGGGCGCAGAGCAGAGGTCAGGTAGGGGTAAGGTGACAGGGGTAGTGTGTGGGGGTGGGACAAGACAATGTGGAGGTGGGACAGGGGAGGTTTGGGGAGTGGGATGAGATAGGTAGAGGAACAGGGGTGATGTGTGGGTGTGGTGGAAGAGGGGAAGGAGGGCGGTGGGCAGTAAATGGGTGATACGGAATATATAAGGGTTCTGGAGGTAGGACAGGACGGCTTAGTGTGGCAGACAAGGGTTGACGAGCAGACAGAGAGCATCAAACAGGATCAGAGCGGGTATACTTTGGTCAGGGCCCACCACAGGCAAGGCGAACCAAACAAGGACAAAGGACAAGTACTTGAAGTGAGTCACAGGAAAACAACACGAGATTAAAAAGCGAAAACAAAAGCATGGTTTAGCGGTCGTTGAGTTAGGACGACTACACGAAAGCCTACCTGATAGAGAGACAGGCGAGGGATTAAAGAAACCGGGTAGCTCACACATCTATGTAGAAGATAATCAAGTACATGAGCACTTACCTTGGGGACGTGCAACCATGCAACATTGAACCGCACCACGAAACACTGAAAATGCCGAGTTTTGTAACAGCTCAGCTGCAAGCGGCTTAATTGTGAAAGTAATAAGGCGTTAGGCAGTGTATCAGTTTGCACAATGCTAGTTGCAAGAACGGAGTCACGATACCGCACGGGTTGACCTTCTCTCCACGTAACTGAATTAAATTGAAAGCATAGCCACTCATTTCTTTAGAGAGGAGAAAAGTAGGTATTGTCATATTCAAGGCTGCGTCCAACCACAACAGTTTTTGACATTCCAATCCCAAAGCCACGCAGATCTCATTCCATCAATCCACACCGTTCACAGTGGACCACCCATCCACATTCCACCAGACCCACCTTCCACCACGGCGTCCACATCCTGAGCCTCGGAGCTGCACGCCACGATGACACAGCACTCGTCCATCTTCTTCTCGAAGCAGAGCGGGTCGTCTTTGAAGGCGCCCTGACGGAACATGGGCCGCTGGCAGCGCGGCACGCAGCGTACCTTGCCGCGCAGCTCACAGAAGCAGGTCTCCTCACACTCGCGGTAAAACTGACCTCCGACTGGGTAGGTGCTGTTGCCGTAGACACAGCCGTCTGTGCGTGAGAGAGAAGGGGAGGTGAAGGTGAGAATGGGAAGTGAGCGGTGCGGGAGACGGAAACAGATGGCGAATGATATAGACCTGTGGATGAGACAAAATAAGCTGTATATGATGTTGTCTTCAATGTGTTGAAAAATAATAAGATGCCTAGCCAATAGGTAGCCAGTCTGTGAGATAAATTTATGAGTCAGCTTCATCTTAACTTCATGCGCCCAGAATTTAGCAAGATTTATAAATAAGACAAACAATGGAAAATGTTGTCACAGCTGTTGCGATAATCACACGGTGCAGCTCGCTCGTGAAGGTAAGACATGTCAGGTAAACAATGCCTGAACATGACAAAAACGAGGATCGAGAACAAGTCTGGACGAAAATCCGACTCGGTACTATCTGCAGATCAGTTCGCGTGGGAACTAATCCACGCCTGGCTTTGAAATCGGCCGTTAAAACCCAGCCTTCGGCAACATTTTGGTCACACGGAGATGACCCGATCGTGACCATTCTCCTGCACAAACTCACGAGCTGTGCAGACGGTTGCCCCCCCCCCCCCCGCGCCCCCCCCCCACGTACTCTCCCCTGCTCCCCGTACACTCACCATCTGTGACAAACCGGATGGTCTCCGTGGTATCCCCGAGAGTATCCTGATCGCGGCTATCATAGATCGCCACTCTCGCCTCGTACTCTGTACGTGGCACCAAGTCACCAATCTTCATCAGCGGCACACTCTGACCCGGCTGTGGCGGCAGCTCCTGCCTGCGCCACTCTCCGCCGCCCGTGCGCCGGTACTGCGCCACGTAGCCGCGCGCGTACGCCGGCGGCTTGAAGTCGTCCCAGGCCAGTGTGGCCGAGTTGTAGGACTTGGTAGTGACGATCAGCGTCGGTTTGGGCTGCTGGTCGGCGGCCGTGAGGGCGGCAGGAGCGCCCGGGTCGCTGCTCTCGGCACCGACGGCCGACTCAGTGGTTGTCGTTGTGGTTGTTGTTGTAGTTGTTGTTGTAGTTGTAGGCTCCGGAGTTGTCACCTTTGAAGTGATGGACTCCAATAGATCGTCTACAATCCGACCTGGAAAGATGTGAGAGCCGATGCGTCAATACTGGAATACGGTCGACATAAAAGGTCCCCTGCCGGTCTCATTGTCTGACAGGAAAACTGTGGGGGTCGCGTGACTACCAAGTAAATCACTGGTTCATCGGGCGGCGCGATTAATCATGATCCCGCACAAGGTCAACTGGTCACCCTTAGCTGATCAAACGAGGATCACCTGCTCCACCTGTGTTCTAGGTTTGGCCAAGCCTGTAGGTAAATGCGAAAAACAGCCATATCGGCACAAACAACAGAAGGCAACAGTTTCTATTCTGTTATCGGCTATATTAGTACGGCAAAGTCACACATTGCATGCTACATCAAAGATCAATGTCCTCAACTGTTGGCGCTTCAAGTTATGATCCGACTCCTCACTGAAACGCATAATCTCTGGAAAGCAATTAAACTATCACGGTGAAATTCATTACCGGGTCTTGTCTTCAGCACCCAACTTAACTCGTACCCTAGTAAAAAGTGCGTCTGCGGATAAAATATCACCAAACAGTACCCCTTCCACGCCCGTTTTCTCCCGCCCCCCTCACCCACCTCCTGTGCTGGTGACGGCACACACCAGCTGAACGCAGCACTCGGGGTCATCGAGGTCAGGTCGCTCGGAGCAGGAGAGGTCGGTGACCGTGCCGCGGGTGAAGGAGCAGCGCGGACGGCAGGACGGCTGGTTGGGACCGCCGCAGACGCAGGTCGACTGGCAGCCCATGTGGTACGTCTCGCCGATGGCGTGAGAGCTGGTGTTGGTCACGCAGCCGGCTGCGGGCGGGGTCAGAACGGTCAGTCAGAGCAGGTCAGGTTGGGACGGGCCAGGTCAGAGGGTGTCCGGTAAAATCAGAAGTCAACGACCAAACAACATGTGATAGCTTCAGCAATCGTATACCTACTTAAGAAATAATTTAGGAAAAATCAACTAATTAAGGGTAAATGTGGCATAATATGAATAAACCATTGTTCCGAACGTACCACTTATCAAACGAGACACTGAATCTGTCAAACTATCGACTAAACATTTTTACAACGGACCTTTCCCATTCTCCTACACATATCTCTGGTCCACCACAGGACAGCCCTGTCGTTCCCGCCCTGCTCCGGCCACTCACGTCTGGTGTCCACGGTGAGCGTCTTGGTTCCAGCGTCTCCCTGCCACCTGAAGGTGTAACTGGTGCCCGGCTGTAGCCTGCCAACGGTCACCACTCGTCGGCTGGCCTCCAGCGGCACCTCCTGACTGGCCCGGCCGGCAGCTCGGTAGCTGAGCTGACCTCCAGCCGCCGGCAGCTGCAGGGTGGTCGTGTTGTGCGTGATGTCCAGAGGAAGCATGTCCAGCGTAGCGATGGGAGGAGCGGCTGTGGTGGTGGTTGGTGGGGCGGTGGTAGTGGTGGTGGGTGGCTCAGTGGTAGTGGTCGTGGTGGTAGTGGTGGTTGTTGTACTTGGTTCGGAGGTGATGGTGGTTGTGCTTGCTTCGGTCGTGGTTGCTGATTCTGAAAACAAAGGGGGGGGGGGAGTGAAGGTCAGTTTTGCGACACAAGGCAGTACACGAAAAGATTCTGGGCCTGGCTGATGAGTACAAATGCGACTTCTTACCAATCTGATGCTCAGTTTGATTGTGAAACAACTCCAATTATCCATATCAGCTTAAATAGAAAGGCAAGTATTTTTGGATGTTTCGAGCCAACAAATGATAAATGTCGCGCGAATAGGAGTCCTTTTCACTATAACGAAATATTTGGCTCAAAGCGAATACAACAGAATGTTGGTGGTTGGTTACGCATACACTGCACATAAATGACATGCTTGGTATTTGTTTTAAAACGTGCTATTAATTAATAAGCATTGGTATTGATTATTTGACATTCGTGCGATGATCGATATCCGATATCGATATTCGTGCGCTTGTTAAACGTGTAAGAAGCACTGGCGCATGAAATAATACATCACGTAGAAAGGTACCTTTAGTTATAATCACTTTAATCGATATGATTACAGACAATCTATTGATTCTCTGAAATGTTTCTTAGTAACTCAGTTACAACATGCATCGGCATTTACTGCGTATTTTCATAAATGGCATCGACTGCAGTGCTAAGTCTAAGTGCATATCACACTCAATCAGCTGTCCCATATCTGACTGCAACAGTGCAACAGCAACAGCTATTCGCTTATAACACTAAAAAGTGACGTTATAAAGGCACAGCACCACAGCACACACCACACCAGAAAATGGAGCAGCTTATCCCATTTCCAGTCTACTTATATCGTATACCGTGAACATCGTTCCTATGTCCCGAGAAAAAGAACAGGATGAAAGTAAGAGCAGTCCACAAATCGCCAACATCAGCCCAGTGCCTAGCTCGGAACGGATCATCCGCTTCAGCAGGACGTCCAGCCCTGGCATGCGGATGTTGGTCAGGTTGCCACCAGAGCCTGCCATTAGCGCCACGTTAGCGGCCACGGGCGGACTCCATCCATCCTCGGAGCAAGTCAACATCGCCCCACGTCCGCATACCTGGCGCCGACTCTGATTTACGTGGGAGCTGAGCACTCCAATTAGGAGCCCCACACATTGAAAGCTCGCCTCGGCGTGTTCTCACCGCGCCACGCTATTGTGGGAACTGATGACATTAAGTGTTGTTATCGCGACCGGCAGTGCGAAGCGCGTTATATTTCCGGTAACAGAGAACAGGACCTACGAATGAGTATTATCGGCCCTAAAACACAAGAGTAAGGCGCTGGTCGCACCTAATAACGATGGGTAGGAGGGCAATAAAAAGACGAGCGATAAAAGCGAGAGCGAGAGGAGTACCTAAAGGACGCAAGCTGTGCATTGTGAAACGTTTCATCTCACTGGTCATTCACGATCATCATGATTGATAAAAAATCGTCGTATGGCACTTGTAAAACCAAAGGAAAGAAGCACAGGTAATTGTAGAGATGACTCATGGGTAACGGCTCAATAAAGTAAACTGGCTTAAATTCAACGGCCGCTCTCGCATGAGTCAGCACGACAGCTGGCATTTTTGCTGATTATTTAAACGTGTTTAATTACACCGGAAAACATTATCATTAGAGTAAAACGTGTAGGCGTGAATCTTAAGTATTTTTGATACGGTTAGCGGTAAAAGCGGCGTGCGAATTAAATTCTTCGCATGCTGTCTCTTTCTAGCCATTTGAATTTAAAAAAATGCTAATTAATATAATCATGCTGACAATATGCAAACATTGCGGATGCAGAAACCGGACAAATGATTAAATTTCATTCATCTCAAGCCGGGCCAAGCACTGAAGAGCCGAACGCGATTTTTGTTATCGTTTTTAGCCGCCGTTTAATCAGCCATGCGACAAGCGTCCGAGACGGCATTCCTCTTGGAAGCCGAGCAAAGCTGTTAGTTGAGTGCCCTGAGGCCAGTCTGGGTACCTCCTGGAGTGACCGTACAGCCGAATACGAGGTCATTGGGGTCACCAGAGTGGCCGGGACGGCAGGCGCAGAGGCCTCGGTCACAGGCCGCACCCGGGCCGCACAGCACAGAAGAGCACACCCCTGTCGGGCCAGAGAAGGTGCTAGGTGAGCTGGGATAGACGGTGAGCGAGGTGAATTAAGGATGGTGGCAGATACTCATTGAGCTAAGGCCATCGCAAGAGATATCCTCATGGGTAAGTCAGGGATGTTCAGCAGCTTGGTAAGCTGTAGGGATGGTCAGAGACGAAAATGGATGATCCAGGGCGGTAGCCGACCTGGTCACCGACTATCCATACTCCATGGAGGCACTGGGACAACCAGAAGTATCGAGGTGGGGTTTCGACTATGGAATGAAGTGTCACGTTCGCAGTGACGTATAGGACAGGCAAAGTGAAATGGGGCAGCATCTGCCAAAGCGGGACGACCCTTGAAGATGAGAAGTGCCTATAGAGATACAGTAGAAGAGCATAGATTGGACAATGCGAAGAGCATGCTATTCAAACAGCGAAGAGCAGAAATTGAAGAGGTGTGACAATACTGCAGACTGCACAGTGTACAGAGCGATCAGCCATAGATGTAGGTAGAGATGACTCAGCTTATTGCACATATGGACGGGTTATGTAACATTGTAAATATTAGTGGCACGTCGCCAACTGTGTAATAATCACTGTTGGTTCCATCACTTAGCTCATTTCTTTGGATTATCTTATTACAAACCATCGAACGTCAACGCTAAATATCATTCCCCTTTATAGTAGCATCTGTTGTGAAGCGATGTAGCAGCTTGAATTGTGTGCACAGCTGCATGAAAATACAATATACGACGGGTCCCCGGTAGACAGGCTCCTGTCCCTCGCCATTCCCCGCCCTCTCCCGCGGCCCGACAGAGAGACCCATCGTCTCTGGCCGACTGCACTGGTTACATACGCTAATGACACTGTCTGAACCCGTGACCTGACCTCAACACGGCTCCATCACGGCCCCAGACGTCAGACTCACACAACTCCTCAACGTGAGACGTGTGGCGGTGTTTACGGGCTGATTTCGTGAGAGGCATTGTGACCCGCTGTAAACAGCTGTGAGGCACGGCGCTGTCACCCCGGTCCGAGTCAGGTGACCTGCCGTCTGTGTCAGCCCCCACGTCGGGAGGGACGACCTTGGCGCGGTGCCGGCAGCTCGTGCCGTGAGCAGTCGGGCCGGCCGCGCGGCGCCGGCCTACGTCAGCGCGGCGCCGCCGCTGCATGCTGATGAGAAGCCCCGGCGGCGAGCCCAGCGCTGGCGAGCGGCCGGCACTGGCCAACCCGGCAGCGGCCGGCCGACCGACCACTGCACGGCGTGGCTGGTCGGCGGCATTGCCCAGAGTCGGCACTGGAGAGCGGCCGAGAGCGGCCAGGCACGGCGCCAAACTCTGGGTAAAGAGGCGAGAACTTCCGACACCAAGGCGGGACTGGAGGACGAGTAACGTGGGGCGACTGGGGATAAAGGCAGCGAGGACCGGTAGCCGTAAGCACACAACCACGAACTACTCCGATTGAGGATGAGGAACACCACTTCCTTGTCTAAAATTTAACGATATTCGTCGTTGGACCAGGAAATGATTCAACATGGTGATTTCAACAAGGGCAAAAAATAACGCAATTGTTTTTTGAACAGCCAACAAGAGAATGAGAGCCGCAGTCGTGCAGGGGAACCATTTATGGAAGACCAGGAAGCCCGTCACGGAATCAGGAATCGTCCATGCTTTGGAGGGTCAGGGACGTCAGTTGTCTGATCAGCTCAGCAGGGGCCTGACCAGCAGCTTTAGGGGCTGGCTGACCAAAAACAGGCAGCTATTAAACCCGCTCGCAGTAGTCGCCTCACCGGCAGCTGTGCCAAAAGCTGTCGATCAAACCGTGGTCACGGGTCGCTCTTCGCAATAGTAAAGTAATCTTGGCTCTTCGCTGCCTATGGATCTACCGAGCACCGGCAGTTGTCTGGCCAACCGTCAGCAGATCAGGATAAAGGATTTATTTGAACATCAGCCAGCAGCTATCCCAGCCATCGGCCGGCCGGCACCACCCAGTGCTGCCAAGTCCGGTCACGGAGCTCTCAACCCATCCAAGTCCGGTCACGGGACTCTGAGCTCTGAGTAGAGCCCGCTCTGAGCAGAGTCCGGCGCGACCTTGACGTTAGCGCAGTGTAGCGTCGCCCGGGGCAAGGTTCGGCGCGAGCCGGCCCACCAGGTGCAGCAGTGGCGGCAGTGGCAGCGGTCGGCGGACTCGACCAGCACAGCCAGGAAGGGTTGTGGGCGCTGGAAGGAATGGAATGGGAAGTAATGGTATGGTATGGGAGGGGAGTGGACGGGACAGGGGTGGAAAGTGATTGAAACAATCGTGTGGTCAGCGCCCCAGAATATCCACAGCGTGGGCCCCTACAGAGAAGATACGGGTGCCATTGACATAAACAGCCACCAGGAATAATGGTCCTCGCGTTGGGTAAGGGTGAAGTTCGAAGGATACTTTTGGAATGTCGAACAGAAGAAGCCTTTCCATCGCTTGACAAACGTTTCATATTACGTAATGCTATTACATGCATCTTGTCGCATTCGCGTCCGCTTCAGACAACTTTCTAAGCAGAAGCTATGGCAAAAAAATTGTGACAATACCCTCCACCTAATCACATTTTTATACTCAAGTTATATGTGTTTCAGGACACTGAAAAAGTCCATCCACGCATTTGGCCACAGCCCATGTTTCTAATTGTTGACCAGCACTTGAATGTTTAGCACACGACATAAATAACACCAGTGACCGATAATCCTCCTCCACAGCCACGATTGACAACCCACCAGTTGTAGCGCTCTCCTCCTCCGCGGTCGACGCGTCGGTGGCGACACCGTCGGCGCTGGGGCTCTCCAGTCCCGAGCAGACGACGTTGACGCAGCAGCCGCCGGCGATAGCCGAGCCTCGCAGCTCGGTACACTCGGGATCATTCCGGAACGTTCCCGTCCGGTAATAGCCTGCGGTGGTCACGGAGGGCCGGCGGGTAACGGGGCTGGTATCGGCACCGCCGCCGGGCGATACGGCGGAGACAGTGCGCCGGATAATGAGCGGTATTTTGGGAGCGAAAATTGTGGGTGACCGCGACTGAGAGCAGTCATAAAACAGCTACCGTCTACAGATGGCACCGGTAGATCCAAATGTCGGTCACAGGCTAAGGTGAATGCGACCGGCAGGTGGTTGGAACACGACACAAACTCGCGGAGACCGCATCTCGACACAAAACAATAGCACCGCAGCCACACGGGAGGGTTTCTGTCGCTTCCTATGACCTGATTCAGTCAGAGATTACGGGAGGTCGAGACATGACCGAGTGAACTGGAAGCAAACTAAAAAAGGAAGCACTTCCAGGAGAAAAGCACACATGAAATACGGGGACTGGGATAAGTAAAGCATCTTTGAAATTTGGTAATTATGGGTACCGTAAGGTGGGGCTATTTGAGACAGTATTTAAAATTGTTATAAAATAAAAACCGTTTGAAATTTATGCTTAATTTTTGCTCAGGCGATGTACTGCTCGATTCCACACCTTCCCGAGCAAAAATATCACATAAAAATCAAACGATCTTCATTTTATAGCGATTTTAAATACTGTCTCAAATAGCCCCACTGTTTCAAATAGCCCCACTTTACGGTATCACGGAAGCACAGCCCGCGCGTTTTGTGCGCTTATGGCACAAGTTGGTGGTAGGCAGGAGGCAGGAGCAGTTTATCGCAGTTGATCCATTGTTTATTGGAGCTTTAGAACGCTGTACAGACTGAGAGGGTCATCGTTCACGATCAGTTCTATCACTCACCAGGCGGACAGGCGGTGGGTGTGCAGTTGAACTTGCCGCCGGGGCTGCAGACGCATGTCTCCTGGCAATCCTTGCGGAATACCCGCTCACCGACGTCCACGATGGAGCCGCCCTCATCCTCGCAGCCCACTGGAATGACAAGAGACACAGTCAGACGAGATGACGCCGAGCGAGGATCGACGAGATGGTACCGAAAAGACATCAAACGGGCACAAATTGCACCGATCACCTAATGTTGGATGGATAGTTTTCTCGAAGTCAGTTGGTATCCCAGTTTCCACATATAATCCACGATCCACTGAGACACAATAATGGATCTAAGAATGGGTGTGAATTGTGAAATGCATGGATCCCCCTGTTTCCGGCATGGTGGATGCCGGAAACTGGAGAGTGGAGAGTACAATGCGGCAGGTGTGGAATACCTTACGGAGACTGCAGTTTAGGACAAGAGACTATCACCACCCGAGTCTGCGGGGATGGCGGTGGGTTTTGCCAGGTATCTGACTGCAGCAAGCTCCCAGTATAATAAGATACCACATTCTAAAGAAAAGCCTGCTGGCATTTCTTGATGCTTGCTGATTTCATTACCTGACCGCAATACGTGCTGCTTTTTACTATCATCGGAGACGTTAAAATAGATTACATTTTATGTAGGATAATATCTTGCCGGATTTTTTTTTTTGTCACATAAGAACAAAGGGATAAGGAACTGGATGTATTCTTACTTTCCATAGCAATAAAGAGCAAATTTAATCAGCACATTTAGCATTAACATATAGTTAAGTGTTACATGTAACACTCAACATCGACCGGCATACGGTTTCTCATAAGCGGCGCCCGTCATTCATCATTTTGAGCAGCTAGGCGGAAATAATTGACGAACGATCAGCAGTGAAGGAAAAGATTCACCTCCACCGTTGGACTGAATGAATGGGATTTCAATCGGAGGATAATTCCGCACACACACCGTAGCCAACCACAGGAATGACTCCATCGTCCGCTGTCACTGAGACGTCGAAAACCGTGCGTTAGCGGCCCTGCCAGCCGGCCTCCACAGCGAGGTCTGACTGTGGCCGGACCACGCTGGTTCGAGCCGGTAAGTTCGAGTCAACTCGTGCACGAAATAGTGTCGAGCACGACCTGTCGTGAGCGAGTAACGCCGGAATGGGGCACGCCCGACGGGCCAGCCGACCATCCCGCTCGAACGAGAAAGTGCCTGTCGACAGCTCGCCGCGACCCCGCCCTAACCACCCAGCCTGTCGGCTCGGCATCTGCTGTCCGTCACAGCTTGTCGTGAAGTGACAATATACAGTGAGACCAGCGACGAGGAAATCAGTTGTTTTGGAAGCGACCTCGCGTGATAAACTTGGCAGTTGGCAAAAAAAAAAAAAAAAACGATGCGCCTGATACAAAATAAAGGCGCTGACGTGTAAGCTGATGGATTTTTTTACGAGGCGAAACTGATTCACCTATAGGCCAAAATTGCTGCAAATGCGACTTACAGAAAACGCCATCCTTGACTCGTATCATCACCTGGCTGCAATAACATAACATCTGGTAACCGAATGTTCCACCAGCAGTCTCAGACAGTTCAACATTTGACCTCCGACTGCCCAGTCTTTGGTCCCAATCCATCCTCTCCTCTTCCCGAGCCTTCTCCATCGGCGACATCGGGGTGTTCCCCGCCATTTTCCATCTCAGAACCCCAGTCGACAACGAGTTGCCAGCTAGCATGACAAGGCAGACGCCACCCAGGACCTTGTAGTCAAGAGAGAACACACGCCATCGGCCAATGGCCCGGAGTTTCCGCATGTGTTCATTAGCCGAGTCCCGAGCGGAGTCATTAGGCTTTGTCCACCACAGGACAGTTAGGTCCCAAAATGATTGTTTGTTTGCGCTTCGTCGCGGTTAATGAAGCATCAGTTTGTATTGTTGTTGGTCGTATTCCCGTCATTCTTCTGTGTTCCGTCTTGAGCGGAGCTATTTCAGTACACAAACGGCTGTCAAAAGCTAGCAGACAGCCGGGACAGGGCGACAGAAATCAAGGAAGTGATGATGGTCGATGGATGTTGAACGATCAGCAAACGTCGCCCCGAGCGAGTGACGCGGGTGTTGGTCCAATGCGGGCTGATCGCGGTCAAAGTTAGACCCCGGGTGTGGGCGGTGCGACAGTAGCAGTAGTCCGGGCTCGGCCCTGACCCAAAACGGCCTGGGTCACCCCCGCACAGCACCCGGCTGATGCGGGGGTGGCACTGAGCTGACCTCAGACGTCGGGCCCGGCTGCGGCGACACGACACGACACGACCCAGGGTCACCGACACGACACCCAGGGTCACCGCCCACATCCGGCGAACGGACAGTCGGAAAAAGTGATAGCACGGGAGGAGAGTGGGTAATGGATCGTATCATCTAAATGATAACAGGAGGACCGGTTATTGTATTGAAACAGTAAATTGAATTTTAGCCTGAAATCTGCTTGATGAATGACTAATTCCGTCATTCAATCGTGCCCATATCACATCGCAAACTACTGATTGCATTGACACTAAATTGTTTTACTTATATGGGTGTCTTGTTTAGAAAACTTCAGCATTTATAGATATTACCGTCATCAATTCAAAAGGAAAATGTGTAATACGTAAAATAGAAGGCATCCTCCTTTAAATTTTGAAACACTTGGCAGTGGCGAAACAAAGCAACCGCTTTGCTGCATGACTCCAGTCGTAACACCCAATCAACCCAACACTCGGCGAGCGCTCCAGACATGACTGTCAGTGGCCACAAACATGACCGATCTACTGAACCGCATGTTTGGCGGCGGCAAGACCGGTAAGAAGTAGCACGAGAGGTCAAAGGCAAGGGGTCTGTACAGAGACTCGTCGGGCCGGCCGGCAAGGCGAGGTCGGGGGAAAACCCGGAAATCACCATGACCGGTGGAACACACGACGATGCACGGAAAAATGGCAGCATGGTGCCAAATTTGATGTTAGTTCGGCACAAATAGAAAATAGGGTTCACCGGCGTCGATAGCGAAATATTTTCAAGAAATTGCTCGTCAATGTGTTTGCATGTTCGATACAATATCATCGAAATACAATAAATATAGGACATAGGTATCACCAGCGTAGAAAGCTTTAGCAAAGAAGATATTGCGTAAAGTAATTTTGCAGAGAAATGAAAACATTAAAATGTTTCCTACAAAAGTAATAGGTATGTATAGAAACATATATAGTAAGTAGACCATGGAGTAATTCTCCTAATTAAATGTGCCCAGCAGGACAGCGGAGCCTCACCCATTGCGTGAACTATGACCTTGACACAGGCGTGGATCAGCTCCCATCATCTCGTCAGGCCACCGATGCGGTGCCGTGACGTGTGTAATCCGATATACGCTGGCGCTGCGGTGAGTGTTCTAGGTGCAGAGCGGGATTCTGCTGTCAAAACGGATACAGAAAATCCGATCCATTGCACTGGGTCAAGCTAGGGTAGCAGCGTGAATTATAGCAGTTCTCAGTTCCAAACGACAACTTGACTAGGGATAAAGATTAAAGATGAATACTTGTGTACGCAAAATATGCAATCGTGCTTCGCTATGTAAGCGCCCAGATTTCTAGAAATGAAAAGCATAGGCAGGACGATTGTGCGTTTGCATTGATGAGACCCATCGCCCATCGGCCATCTACAGTCATATGCTGACTGTTATAAGGAAAAGGGCATCATACGATGATTCATCGGCGCCATACCACCAGTTTGCCAGAACTCACGTGAAACCCGTGTGAAACCCATTCGTCAGAAGCCACCGGCTTGAATCAACGCACGCCTGACTCAACAGGCTGCCGCTGGGCCGACGCGACGGCAGTCCAGCTATGGCGTGAGCCGACTGGGACCGTTACACCGGACCTCTACGCATGCGTGGCCCGAGATCACAAATCAAACCTAATCAGCTCCATCCAGGTCGCCGCGGCGGCCCGGCGAGTGGAGAAAAAGTCGGAAACTTCCCCATCCCGAGACAGCCCCGGTACACAGAATATCCAGCTCGCATTGCGTAGCGGTTTGAACAGCGAGTGGTTTACGCTTGCATGAAGTGGCCGTTGGTTAATCGTATTCTACTTTACTCACGGTAGCAGAAAACTGTGAGGTTACTGTCTACATTTCCTCATTTTTCTGCCAGACATGGTGAACAAAAATTATAATGTATATCTGAGCTAAATGCCAACTATTCACATAAAACAGAAGCTGTTCAGTCTGCAATTGAGACTCGTTACATTTTATTGTGCTCAACAAAGACTTAGTGGTCATAAAACGCCACTAATACGACTTACGAGGGTCATAAAATACCTACCTACTTCGATGATATGTAATGTACCTAAATAGGAACCGAACAGTCTTAAGCCAAACCTTTTATGTTTGATTGCAACACCTATGTTCGAAAATGTTTCTCGAAAATGGCTTCTATTTTGAAGAATGTTTTTATATTAAAATATTCATAAAATGTGAACAGTATTCTAAACAAAATCCTAATCCTATGCAATTATACGAAAAGCAACAAAATAGCCCAAAAGTTCCTGAGTCGGTTCCCTGACGTCAACTAGCCGTGCATTATAACCCGCACTTCCGCCCCATCACCGGCCCTATAGCGGCACGTGCACAGCTCTCCCCGCCCCGCCGTGACGCCGTTCAGCACCGAACGCCGTGACGCCAGCCGCTCACGACACCCGTCACGACCGTCACAGCGTCACGTGACCGGCCACGCGTCACGGCGCGGCTCGTCGTGACAGTGCGGTCACGGGTCACGGCAGGGTGACCGGAACAGGACCGCTGGTCGAGCCGTCAGGGTTCGTCTGTCACGGATCACAGAGCGCAAATGTGCGAGAACGGATGGGTTCAGTGGCTGTAGCTATAGTGTCAAACCGGTGCAGCTTTGCCAATGATGGCTCTGTTAAAGTATCCGCTGTATTGTGTCGCTGAAAGTTGATAATTAGGTAGAGAGGCGACAGATTGTGATGACAGAAGAGCAGCGTCTGACTTAAAGCTGTTTGTAATTTCACATAGAAACGATGCCATGATTAGTTATGGCATCTGCTGACACCTCACTTTCCTGAAGATCGTAGATGAAGAAATTCGAGCGAGATGCTAAGATGTGGGCCATGCAAACCGCGAGGCAGCTGTGTGCTGTATTCACTGCTCACTAACACGGTCAGTCGTCTCACTCCGGTGCTGATGGGCTTTCATCCCGTCAACCATCTGTAGTCGGGCAGGGACCGACAGATCGGTAATGTGGCTATATGACAGCCATGTGGAGAGCCCAGGTGGTAACGAATTGACGACCAGGTGCCGGTGACAGACTGGAATCCAGCAGACAGGCAGACAGGAGTTCAGCGGTGAGATGGACATTAGTTCAAAGGTGAGACGGAGTGGAGTCTGACGAGTCCGGCGGGGACGCGTCCAGCAAGAAGATGAACAGGACTCCAGTGCAGCAGTGATACGGACAGAAGTTCAGTAGTGAGACTGACAGAAGGAGTCTGTGCAGCTGTGAACAACAGCCCAGCAGTGTAGCAAAATAATCTCCAACGGAGCGCGTCGGTAGATAGCGCGGTGACAGGATGCTGAAGCGGCGGCGCTGTGGTGAACCGGACACCGGTGGGCGTGTGTCACCGGTAAAAACTGGCCAGAAACGGGGCGACGGCCGGCGGACGGCGGCCTCGGCCGACGGGGAGGCCGTCAGACAACAGCAGCTGCTACAGCTGATGTAGATTGATGAGGTGGGGTCCCTAAGTGAATCCGAACGGCCCTGAGAGCCAGACCAGTCGGTGTTTGGGCTCATAAAACGATGACAACAATGTATCCAGTATAGGCACTGCTATGCGCATACAGATAAATGCATCGAACTTTTATTATCCATCCGCATCGTTCCGAAATCCTAAGTTAATTATGGTGATGCACCTGCCTTTAATTATCTCGTTTATTTCGGTGCGTCATAACTGATGTGACATCAATAGCTTTTATTTTCTGGAGACAAGGAGAAAATAAAAAGAATGGTTGTAGGTAAAACAGCCCCTGTTGGTCGCCAACTATACAGTGAGCTCTCCAGGCTCGGAGCTCCAATCAGCTCGCAATCGTTGCATTCCCTGTAGAACATATTACGCACGCCTAGGCCATGTGGGGCTGGTGCAGCTTGTGACTTTTTCAATGGTCGCGCTACAAGCTGTGTTTAATGACAACTCGTTGCCATGTTTACACTACTCCGACAGACTGTTATGTCCAGGGGCGGATCCAAGGGGGGGGGGGTCACATGGGTCATGGCCCCCCCTTGAGGCCCGGGGGCCCAAAGACCTGCCAGGGGCACCACCGGCCTATCAGGGGTATCACAGTCCTGACGGGCACCACAGGACCGCCAGGGGCACTACAGGCCTAGCAGGGACACCACGGGCCTGGTGCCCCTGGGCCCTGACAGGACTGTAACGCCCCTGACAAGCCTGAAGTGTCCCCGGCAGGCACGTGGTGCCCCTGACAGGCCTGAGACGCCCCTGCAAGGCCGGTGGTGCCCCTGGCAGGCCTGTGGTGTCCATGGCAGGCCTGTGGTGCCCTTGCTAGGCCTCTGGTGCCCCTGACAGGCTTGTAATGCCCCTGGAAGGACTGTGGTGCCCCTGGGCCCTGACAAGCCTGAGGTGCCCCTGACAGGCCAGTGGTGCCCTTGCTAGGCCTGTGGTGCCCCTGGCAGGCCTCTGGTGCCCCTGACAGGCTTGCGGTGCCCTTGGAAGGACTGTGGTGTCCCTGGGCCCTGACAAGCCTGAGGTGCCCCTGACAGGCCCGTGGTGCCCTTGTTAGGCCTGTGGTGCCCCTGACAGGCCTCTGGTGGCCTTGCTAGGCCGCTGGTGCCCCTGGCAGGCCTCTGGTGCCCTTGCTAGGCCGCTGATACCCCTGCGCCCGGAGAGGACTGGTGCCCCTGAAAAGTCTGAAGTGCCCCTCGGCAGGCCCGTGGTGCCCCTGACAGGCCCGTGGTGCCCCTGACAGGCCCGTGGTGCCCCTGACAGGCCCAAGGTGCCCCTGCGAGGCCGGTGGTGCCCCTGGCAGACCTCTGGTGCCCCTGGCAGGTCTGTGGTGCCCCTGGCAGGTCTGTGGCGCCCCTGGCAGACCTGTGTTGACTGGTGCCCCTGCTAGGTCGCTTGTGCCCCTCACAGACCTGTGGTGCCCCTGGGCCTTGACAAGCCTGAGATGCCTGGCTATGACAGGCTCGTGGTGCCCCTGATAGACCAGTGGTGCCCTTGCTAGGCCTGTAGTGCCCCTGGCAGGCCTCTGGTGCCCCTGCGTCCGGAGAGGACTATGGTGCCCCTGAAAAGCCTGAAGTGCCTCTCGACAGGCCCGTGGTGCCCCTGGGCCCTGACAGGCCCAAGTTACCCCTGCGAGGTCGGTGGTGCTCCTGGCAGGCCTCTGGTGCCCCTGGCAGGTCTGTGGTGCCCCTGACAGGCCTGTGTTGACTGGTGCCCCTGCTAGGCCGCTGGTGCCCCTCACAGGCCTACGGTGCCCCTGGAAGGACTGTGGTGCCCCTGCCCCAGGGGTACTCATGGGCCCAACAGGCCCGTTGTGCCCCTGACAGGCCTGTCGTGTATACTTGCTAGACCTGTGGTGCCCCTGCTTCCTGGCAGGCCTGTGGTGCCCCTGGCGGGCCTGTGGCGCCCCTACAAGGCCGTAGGTGCCCCTGACAGGTTTGTGGTGTCCCTGGAAGGACTTTGGTGCCCCTCTGAAGTGTCGAGGACAGACGCTTTAGACGCCAGGGTCAAGTTCGTCGGACTGACAACGATTTGCTTACCTGATAACGTTCCTGGTAAGTACTCACTACTCAGCATCCACAATATATATACACATAGCACATTCATATATACTTGCTTACAATTGGTAAATGAGGTTGTGGCTAAGAGTTAAGATACTGACTAAAAATAAAAAATAAAAATAAAAACTGAAAATGGGGGCACCACCAAAATGAAGTGGACGAAATCCGTTGAGTTTTTAATTTTGGGTATAGGTAGGGGCACCACTTCGATTCATGACCCTCCCCTTGGAGTTTTCCTGGATCCGCCCCTGGTTATGTCTGGAATGATTGCTGCTGCTGTATTATGATTGCAATACCCGTGACCATGCCTGGACCGTGACGCATGCACCGTTTGTGAAACAACGCCACCCGGCCCGTGACGCCAGCGTTGGTTTGAATAAAAACACCGTAAAGCACGACGGGACGACCGGAGAACATGGGAAGGGAATGCCGGCTGCAAAAACGATCGCATCGCTGGCATAAAAGGCCATTGTTTCGGACAAAATGGAGATCGAAGTCACTATGGCATTTCGTTTCAGCAGTGAACTGCGCTGGCTGGAAAAGTTAAAAATATAGTGCATGTGCATTTGGAGCTGGCTTCCTAATGTATTTTTTCATTATGTTTCTCCTCAAACAAAAAAAATTCAATAACTACCAGAGTAAAATTTCCAGCAGCTATAGGTAAAAAGTCCCGTCGCCAACCGATGCGGGACAAGACCGTGAATGCTCCAGCTCTTTTCTAAGTATGGAGTATGGACAGCCAGCTTAAACATAGAAACAAAATATATTTCCTTCGAATGACCCAAGCAATCGTTACCCTATCTATCTCCCGTAAAATTGTAGCGCAAGAACCTGACACAGCCGGCAGTGACGGGTGGTTCCGTTTGTTTTTAGTACGACTACCGACCGACACGCCGATAGAATAGCGATAAAAAGATAACGGTAAGAGGATGGCTCTCAGCTCTCTCATATACACTGAGCATTTAAAACTGCATTTGAAAACAATCGTCTTTTGCAGCTGTTGCCTTTTAGTATAGCCTAAAATAACCACAGTAAATGGCCCAAGACAAAAATTATTGGGATATGAAATACCGTTTTATTGATAGTGAATAAATAGCCAGGCACTTTAATTCACCAGTCCCCATCAGTGGCTAAATCACTTTTCTCTCAGCATAGCCCTCTGATAAGCAATGTCCCTCCCCCAATTCAGCGGCTCCTTATCCTAACAGATGGCAATGTTTACAGAGCCACGTCACCTCGTGCTCAGAGCGGCCGTGCCCTGCTAGTGCTGTTAGCCAGCCCCTGCTGCATGCAGCAGGCCGAACACCCCTGCCTTGCCCTCATGCCCTGGTTGGGTCATCCCCATGCGGATAATCGGGGGAATCATGTCGCTGGCCAAAAAGAGCCGGAATTCAGTAAACACCAAGGTAGTGATACAGAAATCGCATGGGTAAGAGTAAAAAACAATAGATATTGAAATAGAAATACTGGTAGTGACATAATACTTCCCTCATGACCAAAGAAAGGCTTTCCAACACTATATAGTGTCACTTGGTAAATGAATAAAACTGGAAAACTGGTCTGTCTCTCAATCCCGCTGCCCGTATCGGTGTCGTGAGGCGTGAGTCGGTGAAAGGGAGGCACCTCCGGCTTTGGAGATGCGCGGTCCCACGAGATATGGATCATGGTATACGGGCCGGGTGGCTCACCGGATGTGGATTAGAGGTGGCCGTGACAGTACAGCGGGGCCCGGGGCGGATGGGCAGAGCGGCAGAGCTAGTCACAGGTGCACTGCAGGGCTCAGCGGCCAGAGCAAACTGGGCAAAGCCAGCGATAGGAGAGTCCAGCGGACATAAAAAGGGATATGAAACAAAGACATGTCACAGCTGAGCGGACAGTCACCTTCGTAGTTCGTATAGAGTATCGCATAACAAAGGGTCCGAAAATATGGAGCCTAGTGCCGTTTTTAACCTATTTCTATTGTACTCCTACATATGATTCCTTTATCTACAACACCCCGGCTCGCACCCCTACCCCTCGTGATCTCCCCTTCTCGTCACATCCACCCGGCCCATGTGGGGTGGCTGATCTCCGATGAGCCCACCTTTGACGCAGGCGTTGGACTCTGCCTGGAAGCTGAAGCCGGGCGGGCAGCTGCAGACCGGCCGGTGGTTGCGCGTGCGACACACACCGTTCTTCAGTGAGTTGTTGCATGGGTCGAGGATGGTGCACGGGTCGAAACACACCCCGCCCAGACAGAACCGGTCACTGGCACACTCGCCGTCACTGCGACACGTCTTCTCATCTGAAACAGAACAACGGTCACAGGTCAGTCGTCAGCGGTCAGAACCGGAGCGCTAAGGCTGAGAGGTCAGGTCAGCGGAAACACTGACAATAGCATGAACACCGTGATGATGCAGAGACACGTATAAATCTCCGATTAATTGGTCCGCACACTAAGGCCTCTTGATTCTCGACTTAAAACATTCGTTTCGCAGGTTTCCATCTCGCTGGTCTCTCTCTCTCTCTCTCTCTCTCTCTCTCTCTCTCTCTCTCTCTCTCTCTTTCTCTTTCTCTCTCTCTCTCTCTCTCTCTCTCTCTCTCTCTCTCTCTCTCTCTCTCTCTCTCTCTCTCTCTCTCTCTCTCTCTCTCTCTCTTTCTACTCGATTGCTTACATCACGGATCATACTTTCTTTGTTTCTCGACACCCGTTTGCAAACCTCATCTCATGCTATCTGCAAATCAGATAGCCGAGAAACACGAGACTAATAAGCTCCTGACCACACCACCGCAGACTGATTGCGCTCGGTTTCGAATCTCTCTCCTGTGTCGTGTTCACTTTATCTCTGTGATGTGTCGATTGCATCCGGGTCACGGCAAACGACGAATCAGGCACAGGATAAGGTACGACCCAGCGCGACACGATCGTCACCATTTTTTAATCGATTGCAAAAAAAATAAAAATGGACTTTGAGAGACTTCATGGGTTTGCACACCTTTGCGATTCATCCCGATCTACAAACGTTAACTTCATATAAGCGCAACGCAAATGTATTCGATATCCATGGCATTCGAAGTAATCGGAAGTGAGAAAGCGCAGCGAACTTAGCCCACACACGAAACGACTGGCATGACGTTGCGAGAGAAGTGAAGTGCAGCATAAGGTCATCAAAATACACGATGCCGGCTCATGGAGAACAGTCCGGAACAGAAAATCAGTCAGGTCATTACACACAGAGAATGTAGGAACAAGAGTTGACGTTTCCACCAGCCCCGTAAATATACCTACACTCCCGCAACCTCCCCCCGGTCAAGGAGTAGTGGGAGGGGCAAATCAAAATGCCATCGTTTGACCCCGCAGTTCTTTAGAGCTAATGTCCCTGGTCGTGCTTAGATAAAAGCCGGAGACGAGTAATTACTATAGCACACCCATGAAACATGGAACGCAATGAAAATGGAGCTGGGTTTGTGAGCAAAGTAAGAAACAAGTTCTATAAGGCCATGAAATAGTAACACAATGCATAATCATCCAACCTGATGGAAGAACCCATGTGTCATGTTGCGTGATTGTTCAGCACGCTCGATAGTTAGTAGGTATTTTACGTCTCTAGTCAGACAATTTTCCCCGGGCGGAGAGCGACGCACCGGGCCGCAGTAGCAGTCCGAGCCTTTACTGACGGCGACCGAGTACCCCGAGCTGACAGTGACAACCGCAAGGTCGACCACAACAGCCACCGGCCGTGACTTTCCCTCGTCGAGCTGCAGCAGACAACAATGGGACACGGAGCGGCGGCCTTACCCACCTCAAAGCCGCGAGGGGAGGGGTGGAGGGGGCACCCGGTCGGTACCTCGCAGCGCCGCGACACAACCGCTTCTCAGTTCACACAGCAGTCGGGGATCTCACCGTTCCCGTAAGTCAAAAGACCTAGGTTTCTGTTCACGCAACAGCTATCGGGTATAGCCTAGAGGAGCTCAGAAGGTTACATTTCTTGTGCTCACCAAACAAAAAGAGCAAACAAGAAAACTGGGACTTTCGTGGCAAGAGAGTTACGACATCCAGAGCTTCACACCGGCAAGATAAATTAACAATGATGACATCAATGAGCAATGGATATCCAAGGCGGTGATAAAAATACTACCTATGTCATTTTTCGGATATCGGGAACCCGCCTATTCTACGCGCTAATAATCAATGAATGAAGGAATGAATGAATTAATGCACAGCAGCGCTGCAACGTGACGTCCGGCGGCACGAGCTTCCGACAATCGCTTGGCCGGACGTCCCTTCCTGCAGTCTGCACCATCCAGCCCCAGACCGGTGGAGTGAGGAGCAATGACTCACATTCCTGGCAATTCCTGACGCCAAACCGTGCAGCTGTCACCGCCGTCAAAGGACAGGAAGCGCTCCGTTCCGGCCGCTGAGCAGCCCCCGCACGGTTCGTCGGAAGGTCATCTCAGGCTCAAAAGAAACGGTATATACCATTCGAAAGCTGACGGTGAGCTGAATCCAAAAATGTAATTTTTATCAAAATCGATCGATGGCCTTTTTTGAAAATTGCGTTTTTGTAAAAACTTAATAATATTTTATTAAACGGGCTGTCCCAGACATTCTTGAAAACATAAACATGTATTTTTTAAGTTCCAGTGAAAGCTGAACGCCAAAAAAACAATATTTAGCGAAGCAATATTTCCAAACATTAATATGCGTCTCCCACAGCCGACAATAAGGCGCAATCACACAGCTCAGTGTCACGATGGATCAAAGTCAGCCACACAGAAGCGTGAAATGGCCCTTATCGACTCGCAGACCCGGCGCTCTCGGCCCGCCTGACCGGCCACGGAAAGAACGTTCGGCTCTCGTTCTACTAAACAAATGTCATATTTGTCAGTTTAACTGTCCACATCGCTATTAAAGTTATTCAGGATACCTGTGGAGAAAACTCATTGTTCTGTCATCTTCACATCATGCATTAATTTTCATTTGTTCATGTCTCCTTTGCTCAATCGAGCTTGGCATCATGCCCATATAAGGAAAATTGGCCGCGCTGAAATGTCAGAGGCTGCACCGGCCTCAGCTCGGGTGGAGTGGGGGTAGCGCCCGGCGGGGCAGGGTAACCTTTGACCGGTCGCACGGCCGAGCAGCTGTCACCAGTACAGCCTCTGACAGTGAAACCCCGCTCACTTCCCCTGCGCGGGCACTGATCGCAGCTGGATGGAACAAAACATGTAAAAGAAAAATGTAAATTAAAGCATGTTGTAAATCAAGCAGAACAATGATTTTTCTTCACAGGTATCCTGAATAACTTAAATAGCGATATGGACAGTTAAACTGACAAATATGACATTTGTTTAGTAGAACGAGAGCCGAACGTTCTTTCCGTGGCCGGTCAGGCGGGCCGAGAGCGCCGGGTCTGCGAGTCGATAAGGGTCATTTCACGCTTCTGTATGGCTGACTTTGGTCCATCGTGACACTGAGCTGTGTGATTGCGCCTTATTATCGGCTGTGAGAGACGCATATTAATGTTTGGAAATATTGCTTCGCTAAATATTGTTCTTTTGGCGTTCAGCTTTCACTGGAACTCAAAAATACATGTTTATGTTTTCAAGAATGTCCGGGACAGCCCGTTGAATAAAAGATTATTAAGTTTTTACAAAAACGCAATTTTCAAAAAAGGCCATCGATCGATTTTGATAAAAATTACATTTTTGGATTCAGCTCACCGTCAGCTTTCGAATGGTATATACCGTTTCTTTTGAGCCTGAGATGACCTTCCGACGAACCGTGCCCGGAGACGTCGGAGTTCTGTCGCCCGCCGTTGGACGACTATTCCGTTTGCAGCATTGCCGAGGCAGTGGTGTCACCGACCGACATGATTCCGAGATTTGGACGGATCTTCCACAGACTGCAGCCGTGAGCTGGTCGGAGGGGCGGCGGCGGAGTGGCGAGACTAAACAGTAAACATCCGCCCCTGCCCCTGCCGAGGCAGATAGGGTTCACGCTGCAAGTCACTCCGCCTGCACTATGTCACGATTGGGTCGAGGGGTGACTATGTATGGCCGCCGGAGGGGGGAGAGGGAGGGGGCCGAAGTGAAGGTAGAGGTTCTCAGTAGACCTGGTCGCATTGGCGGCTGATGGTCCGTGGTTGGTTGATGAAGACTGATGGGTGACGACATATGGCGAATGGAAGGTGAGAGTGACAGATGTCTGGTGCCAGTCGCAATGAACTGTCAACTGTTGACAGATGACCGCAAACACTTTCTGGAAAAAGAGAGTTCCCAATTGCTAAAATACGCGAGGACCCACCGGGTCAGTCGCTGGCTTATTTTCCTTTGATGTGCTTCAGTCAATAGACGGCTACTAACATCAGGCTGTCGACTTTTGACCGCCGGCTACCAATGTTAACAGACGGGTGGGGCCGTCAGGCCCATGTCGAGCCAGGGTCACGGCCAGCGAAAGAGACGGTTATCGTCACGAAAGGAGAGAAAGGAGAAGAAAGGGACCACGCCACTCACTGGTAGCGACAAGGGAAAGTGAATTCATGCTCCGATGGTGGCGATGACATGACAATATCGCGGAATCCCGAAAGGTAATATAGCATCGCCTTAGCTAGAACGACCTGTCATGGCCTACCGTATTAAAAATAGTTGCTGAGAAAATCGCTGCCTAGGATTCGTTAACACATCAGCGTTCGCTGCTTAGTACAAGTGAACCCGGAAAATGCTCACGGAAGACGCCGTGTGAGTACCACACAAGCCGTTTAGCGCTAAATTGGTTCGTGCTCGACGGCATTTGTCCGCATCTCACGCTGTTTCACCGCATGTCAGACCCAAAATCACATAATCACAACTAAGCATACAAAATGTTTATGAAAACCATTGGAGCGCAACCGAAGCATATTATTAGAAACGTCACATGTGGACCACTTACGGCACTAAGTATCCTACTCGTCCATATTAGCGTGCAAATGGTTGCTCGTTAGGAGCTGTTGCGGTGGCCGGTTGGAGCAGAGCTTGCCACCCCCGCCTTCCGGCCCCTGCACCAACAGAGTTCAGCTGGGTGGCCGCGCCGGCCGTACCCACGCTACAGAGACGGGCACTGCCTGAGACCGGACCGGTGCCTACGCCGAGCCCACAGCAGATGGGTCTCAAACGTACGTACAGAGCCACTCCAGACAAATGGGGCCGATCAGAGCGTCAGGATCACCGAAGACTCCAAAAGAAGTCAATACGGCCTCTTTCAATGTCAGTTTGTAACAGAACAGTGAATGGTTTGCTCGTATTGTTTCGGCAACACATGTCCCTGAA